TTAAATATTGTATGTAGTGTTTTGGATTGTAAATCAAACTTCAATGTGGGATCAATTCTTCTACAACCAGATGCCCAATATATTCTTATTTTAATTTTTATATAACATAATACCACTATAATCAATTCTAGTTCTCCTAAATATTTATTTTTTCTAATTTGCACAATCACCAACTAAGATATCTTAATATTATAATCTTACCTATCATAATCCCACAACAAGCTTAATATTTTTAAAACAATAATGATTAAGAATTAGCTTAAATATAATCTAACTTTTATCTTATACAAAGTTTAAAAATAAAGAAACTCTCCTATCATCATTTATATAATATATTGATCTTGGGTCGAACTTAGAAATAATATTCTTTTAAAAAAAATACATTAAGATTCCTTGCACTTTAAAAGCAAAAATAACTATCAATCAAGGAAATAAAGAATTATCTTCTCCAGAACCACAACTAGCAATATAACCTTGGTAATCATCCAAAACAAATAAAGGAATTCTACCTTCATAAGATCTAGCAAAAAACTATAATATATCATTATTATTGTTTAGAAAAAGATCAAAAAAATATTCAAGTAATTAATAAGCATTACTTACACAAATTTTTAATATATTCTTAGAACAATCAACATATGTATAAGCCTTGGGTTCTTTGGAAGTTAAACAATAACAAAGTTCTATTGAAGAAGAATTAAATTCACATATTCCTAATAGTGTATAGATTTTTATCAACCTCCTACCACAACAAGCATCAATCATTTTGCAAGTGGCTTTTTAAACTTAAATTAAAAAAAAATAGAAGCATTGATTCATTCCAGACCATGTTTGTTGTAAAAAAGTTTATTTAAGTTCTAAGACTTGACTTCATTGATATATTCTCACCATAGATGTATACTAGCATTTATTGCTTAAAAAACTTGTATGGCCTTCAAATATATAAAATATGCATCAAGATTAACTATGAATTATACAAACTTTGTGCATTTAGTAGAAATTAGTAGAGTTTGGATTTCATAATATAGATACAAAACATAAAATTTATTGGTCCTATCAACCACAAAATCTTAGTATATAGACATAACAATTATTACCTTTCAAGTTGTGTGGCTTTGACATATGATTCATGATATCCAACAAGACTTATCACAACCTACATTAATATAATATAATAATCAAAGTACCTTAGCTTTAATTAACACCACTAAATTTTATGTATGAATTAAACACATAAAAAATTTATATCACACAATGAATATGTTCTTAAATGGATAAGAATACTCATCCCTTGAATTTCAAAACCATGAAGTATCCCCTTAACCTATCTTGGCAAAAGAAATCAAAAAAATCAAAGAATATACTTCATAATGATGTGTATTAGAAAGAGGACAAGTTAGAGAGTACTCAAAGTTAAGCAAAAGTATAAGCCATATAGAGATTAGAAAATCTAGACAATTTATTGAGAATCTTGTAATACTCGGTGAAATATATGGTAGTTAAGAAGTTGCAACCCAATAAGAGTTGCATCTACTCAATGGAGTGTAATTGCAATAAACATTATGTCTCTTTTTTTGAACCAATTAAAGATAAGTTGTATAATAGAAGTTTGTATTTACACTTTTAGTTAATATAAGATATCAAGTCTGTATTCCAATACTCCTTCTTAACTAATAAGCTTATAAGGTAAGAGTATTCTTCCAAACATATTAAGTATTAATAGATGATTAGCAAGTTTCAAGCTTTACAAGTCATTAATAAAGATGTCTACTCTCATGTCTTAAATAGGATAGTAACTAAGTTTTATTTTTTAAAATGCAGCTAATTACTTAATAAAGTATACGCTTTATTTATTTATTTATAAAGATGCATTTCAAGTTACACCATTGCACTGTTAAAAGGTAGACCAGCTCTTACATTTAGAATCGTATTTCATTTACATGCACGACACACAGACCATGTTATGCTGAAAAGTCTCTTCAGCTTGACTACTCTGGGTCATGATTCAGTGCACATGGATTGGGAAGGCCAACTTGGCTGAAAAACAATCAGAGGCACTACCAAACTAAGCAATCAATAGTTTCTTCAACAATTTTTTTGTGCCCTTCCACCTGTGTTTTCCTCACTGTTGTTGAGAGGAACACCGTGTCAAGAACCCAAATTCTGTACCAAATTATAAACACAATATGAGTCCAGATGAAGCTGCTACTTGCACACATCACAAGGCAGGTAAAAGAAGTTCTCTGGTTGTGATTCTATTACTTCTAATATTGCAAAATCCACCAGAAGCTCTGGATAGCTTATCTTGCTACTGTGAAAAACCCTTTATCCATCCATGTTGATCAACAACAAAGTGGAAATGGGGTGGCATGTTGCTTTGAAATATGGTCGTCAAGACTTCACACCTCTTGAATGGCAATATCTGTGGGCCATGTGGAACATTGTTCACTGTGCATGAAAGATTACTAATTTATTTAGTTTATTTTAATTATTATTATTTATTAATATCAAATTTGAAGTTTGACTTTGGCACTTGGCAAAATGGGTGTCAGGTCCCAATTGCTTTATCAATACAATGATTTTCTTATAAAACTTATATGTTTTAACTTGACCTTAAACACTAAATTAGGTTTCACTACAATGGAGAGAATTATTAGTTGTGAAAATGACAAAACACATACGATTCTATCTAATTACATGTTTGAAAATATTGCTTGAATTTTCTGCAGTAAACTCAGAATATATAAATATAATTACAGAATAAAATTTGTATTGATTAGAATAGGATAGTAATATTATAACATTTGATTTTAGCCACAAAACAACAAAAAAGATAAAAAAATAAATAGTTATTTTATCTAATTTGGGCTTCAATTATACAAATGATTCCAAGTTTATTAATAAATTTATAGAAAAAAACACAAAACAAATAGATTTTACTTGGGCACTGTAAGAAAATTTTCAATTTTTTATTTTTTAATCTCAATTCAAGTTTTTTATTTTTATTTTATTATCTCTCTCTCTCTCTCTCTCTCTCTCTCTATATATAGATTTGTAATCCATGTAAAATATCAATATTATTTGCTTTCATACAAAATCTTTGTTATATTGCATAATATTCTTTCAACCATTTTTTTAGTTTCTTTATCTTTTCTTTAATATAAAATACGTATTTTGTAGCTATTTGTTTAAAAAATATTTTCTTAATACAAGACAACTTGTTTACTTATTTAAAGACAAATATCCTAAATTAACTAAATTTTCCTATATTAGAAGGATCTACCAATTATTATTATAAAATATAAATAAAAAAATATAATTAGAAAATAATATAAAAATAGATTTAAAAAGAAATAATATCATATATATATATATTTATATATTTTAAAAAATAGATTTTATAGTATATAATAGCAACAATGTTGGCATTTTATACATATTTTTTTTAAGACTTAGGCCACAAGCATACTCCAAGTTGCAATATGAATACACCAAATTACTATATACACATCTAAAAAAAATAGAGGCTTTTGATTGGTTGATTATTGTTTTATAGAGCCTAACATGTGCTACAAAAACAAGGACAAAGAGGTGGCAATTTCCTTACAATGGTCTTCTTGACTGATCAATAAGCAAGGTCAAGAAGTATGTTCAAGAAAAAATTGATTTCAACTTTGTTTTGCCATGAGTCCTAGTCTTGTATATTGCAAGTACGTATTTTGTAGGCAAATCTAAAGACATTGAAGTCATTCTTCAAAACCTATAGGTCAGTCTAGTTGATTGTTAGAATGAAAGCCATGAAAAAAGAGCAACGCATGATCAATGATGTGATGTAGAATGCAAGAACTTGACTATAATGTACTAAGTTCTATCTTAGTAAATTTGTAGTCGAGAAGCAAAGTGAATATGTTGGATAATAAAACAATGCAAATTTCATTTGAGGGAGAAGGTAGACATAGCATACCTTTAAGTACTACCTCTCTCCAATTTTCTCAACAATTGTAAATGCTGCGAGGTGTAGAAGTGCTGTGATCCAAAGCCTTGTCAAATCTCAAGAAATTGAGTAACTTCAATTTGCTATTATTGACACTCAAAGTTGGAGTGTCAATAAACTTATGCACAAATTCATTGAAGTTGTATTAGATGATACTTGTCTTTGCACTTTCCTCCAAAAAAAAACAACCATGTTGTCTTGCAAATATAATCCCTTCTTTTTTTGTCACCACATGCCCACTCTCTTCTAGATCCTCTTTGTTGCCTACTAATATTATGGGAGAATTTGCTCATTGTTGAAAAGAAACTTCCAATTGTTTCATAGATGGTTCAAACATAGAGGCACTGTAAGATGAGCCTTGCTTCATTTATTTCCAAACATTTGGATCCAACATAGATGTAAAGAAAAACCATACGACATTGTGGGGGAATACTTTCAACACCAATTTTGTGAAATTGTGGCTCATAAGTGGAGGAATTGCTTGCTCCATTTGTAGTGCTAATTTTGCTGTAGAATAATAACAACCTTGACCTTTGGATTTTAGATGATGATCCTAATGTTTCTAGAGGTGCTTCCAAATCACTCTCATAAAACTGAATTGTGACTTGTCACTGACATTCAACATAAGAAATTATTAAACTACTTTTCTGGTGGCCTAAATCAAAAAGACAAAAAAAGGAGAATTTAGAAAGGAAAGGCCAACAAAAATAACACAAAAGAAAACCTGACTACCAAGTTATTTGACCAAAAACAAAAAAGACGTAGTCTCTCTTCACATTTTTCACATTTGTAAGTCATCCTGAGATGCCTATGTAGTCACAAAATAGAATAGTAAGTATTAGAACCTCACCAACAGAACAATAAACCAAGTTAACAAAGGGCATGAGGTCAACTTGAATGAGAATAATCAACCACTTGGATGTGCTTGGATCCAGACATTTCATAATTAAATCGGCCTCCCTATTTGTCAGAATACTTCATTCAATGAATCTCATGCTCGCACAAGTAAATTAACATCAATGCCATTATTTGGTCATAAGATAAAAAATTATAACACAATCATTAGAACAGCAGCATTTGAAACCCGTCTTCATCATACTTTCCATTTACGGGAAGTCCTGGAACCCTACGCCTCGTCCACCAAACTCAGGATTGAGTGAACGTCATAGGAAAAACAATTTTTCATACTAATGTACCTGCAATTCAAACCATGAAATCTGATTTCCCACTACACCACGTATATTTACAAAGTTCAGAGGTCAGGTGGAATTGCCTGATAAGAACCTTGCCATGAACCTGCTTCATTCCAAATCGACAATACGGGAAGAGGGAATAGATTGAACAGGGGCTAAATTTCCATCGAAAAAACTCCGGCACATCGATGGTGCTTCAATTTTCTGCCCACAAATGGATACCCCCTTTCCAACTCGAAGAGTTGAATTGAGTCACCACCGCACCAAAGTAGTGCCATGGTTTATATAAGTGGCATGAAAGAGCAGCGTGGCATCTAGGCCTCGCGTATGAATGGCTCAAACAATGCAGTGGCAGGGTTAGAGTCCTGATGCAGGATTTTTGCAGCACGTTTGAATTCATCCCGCAAAACTCGAATGCTGTTGCGATCGACCACTCGTCCAAGATCATGAGTAATCTCAAATGGGTCCTCGATGCATATGAGGTGGCGCTCATTCCCAATACGACGCGTCCAATCTTTCTCATCCTTGCTGCAATGCCAATTTCATCGATTAAACTAACGAATGTCTGCCATACATACAGCACTTGAATACATGGTGAGGTTCAACATTTCACCAGAATGTAGGATGAGTGATGCAATCGGGAAGCTGGAAAATTCAACGTACCTCAAATAACCTCCAGTGCGGACAGAGATGACTGAGCGAGTGTAGTCATGGCACGAAGCCCAGTAGTCAAAGAAGTGCGTTAAAAGCTCTCCAACTGTTTCCTTGTTGGAACATCCGAAGTTTCTAAGCGTGTTGACTTTATCAAAGTAGGCACATTTGATCTTGCCTACAGTGACCTCATAAGTTGGTTGCATGCTCTGAACAAGTCGCCACATCTTATTTAGTACATTTGTTGTTGTAAACGGAATATATGGAACAATGAGCTTAAATGAGATCCAAAATTGAACTCAATAAATGCATTCATATCACGCTTGCCACACCTGAAGACAGGGTAGTATGGCAGGTCTCCGTTGTTGAAGAAAATGAATACACATCAAAACGTATCTGTAAAAAGAACGCAGCAATTCAGAGGGAGTAAAAGATGGTATAAAAGATATCAAGTGCTAACCTACATTCACATAGATTCGTTTTTTATTTTTAGATCCATGCAATCAAAATGCTCAATTCGGCACATTGTAACACATTCAAAATATTACAACGTGAGCAATTCACATTTTAAAATATTTATAATTACTATTGACCCTGTCAATCGACTTGCAACGAACTTCAGTGTATGCACTACAAAAGAAAAGCTTTGAAGAAGTAGACTTACGCATAGCTCGACAGAGTACCCCTGTACGTTTCATTGACTTGACGTTGCTTAGCCCAATGTTTGACTAGAAAAGCCAGCTGCCGCAAGCGAGGATCCACTTGTGAGTAGTCATGGAGCAACTTTGAGTTCACTACAGCCAACATATTGTTTACACATATGTCACAATTGATTCCTGTGTCTGGATCCGTGAACTTCACAATAGGCACACGAGCGTGTGTCAATGCCTGCACCACAACCATTACGAGAGGAAGTTCATTTATATTCGAAAAGATGACACATGGTTCTTTTCTAGCATGTCAAAAGCAACTCAGAACTGCTTATCAATGACTCAGAGCGCAGATTAGAAATTTTAAATTCAAATGAAATTCACGTTCAAAAACCTCATGGTAATCTGAGTATCTATAGATGTTCAAGGATCACAACTAAGAGGAATATAGATGCACCTGAATGTTCTGCATGTTATCAGAGCGTAAGATGCCAGCCATCTTCATGACAAGTTCCGCCTTGCTTGAATGTTCATCATCAACTGACAAGCAGACATCAATATCACTGTTGCATACGCCAAAGTCGTTTGCACAAGACCCAAAAAGAAACAGCTTAGCGCCTCCCCAATCACGAGAGACAAGCCTATCCAGATGAGTAAGAAATTTCCTTTGTTTCAGCACTTCTTCTGGTGGAGGTATCAACTTCTGCAAAATATAATAAGACCAATCAAGCAAAGAGCTAACTTTGATCGTATAATTATAATGCAAAATGTTCATAAATCACAATCCACATCACCAAAAATGAATCAAAACAGGAATCCAGGACAAAGATGGCAAATATAAATAGCATACCTTGTAAACAGACAGAAGCAAAGGATTCAGTGCTTCGAATTCCTGACGCTTCACATCTCCTTTCATCAGAATTGTAGGAGCATTGTTTCGCAGTTGATGGCGTCGAACTTCACGAGAGTCACGCAAATTCTCATGTTTTCCTTCAAGTTCTACTTCCTGACGGATAAACAAGAATCCACAGTACATTAAGAGAGCTGCCCAGATGGAACACGCCAAAAACCGACCTAAAACCACCTTGTCCCTGAATTGAAATTACCGCTGATGACATCACTATCATCAACATCATTACCAATGGTCACTAACAAACCAACACTCCATACGTTTTGCACTCTAAGTCATTATGATCAAGCAAACATGGTAGTAACATCTTGTAAATCTTCAAGTTGATTCAATTTCAACTCCAGAAGCTTAGATGCTGACGGGATGAGAGGAGCAGTGCCACTAACATCGTAGAACTAGATCATAACATACCTCACGAGTAAGACGTTCAGCATGAACTACGCTCTGTGAAACGTTCATATCACGAGGAGTGATGGAAAAATGCTGTGTATCCTGCACAAGTTTTGCATAACCAGAAAACTCCCGCATAATGAGATCTTCTTCTTCTTCTCCGCCTAAACCATCCTCCCAAGTTAGACGCCCGGCTTCCGTCACGTACTTTCCAGCTCTTCCCCTAACACCAGGGCGGACTCCCTCATCCAACTGATACTGTAATTGCTGCTTGGACTCGTCTGTCGCAGACCCTGACATTGAATGACGCACCATGTTTGAAGGCAGTCCTGGACGATCAACCTGTATATTGATTGTCATTTTGAGACCTCTTGAAATTGTAACAGCAGTGAATACTTCAGAACGTCCTGAACTAACGGCCAAGGATTTCATAAAATATAGATCTCTGAACAAGTAGAGGATGCTATTCTGAAAGACAAGCGACCTTAAGAGAATTTTCACAAATGGACTACACCAAAAAATTCCCAGTAAGCAATATCATAATGCTGTTATTGGCAAAGATGACATACACATTATGTATGATACTTAATATACAGTACCTCGAAGAGAGAAAAACCCACACCTGTGAAGCGAGAGGAAGAATGCCTTCAGGGTACGCGTCTTGCTGCGAAACCAAACCTGTTCCAGAAGCTGCCTCTAGGGGTTTAGCGTGGGGAGGAGAGGGCTGTTTCATCCGCCATTCCTGTATTTGCCCTCTACGTCGTTTTGAATCTTCTTTCGATTTCCCACCACTCCCATTTGGTGAATCTTCCTTCCCAGAATTAGATGTTAGCTTTGCTGCTTGAGGACTGGAGTAAGAAGATCCAGTATTTGTATCAACGGGAGATGAGACTCCCTTCTCTAATGATGCACTAAGTCCATGTAAATTTGATACATACCCAGGCTCTCTTTCACCATCTAATTCCCTTTGTTTATCGTTCACAACTACCCAATGTCCAGCACCACTTCGACCTGCTGTACGACTCAATTCTGCTCGGCCAGGACCACCACGTCGACCATTCCCTTTCATCCCTGGTTTTCCAAGGTCTCGATTGATAATCTCATTTTCTTTGAAAGTTCCAGTAAAATCAGCGGGTACAGAGTTGGTGGTTTCTTCCCGATTCTGGCGAGAAGTTTTCAAATGACCATCCACCACTCTATTCCTAACTGGAGCACTGAATCGGCTAGAGTTTTGCAGCGTCTGATACATACCTGCATTTAAGCACCACAAATATAAGCATGAACAAATAAGAGCACTAATAATTGTAGTCGTCATTTCCGTAAAAATAAACGAACTAAGCACTGCAAAAGTGGAGAGGCACAGTCGTAAATAATAGAAAATCTCGTATTAATACGGGACGTCTTGCACGTCCGCAACGAACTATTGCGACCAAGTAGTTGCCAATTACCACGTCATGACTCTTTGTTTAATGCTTTTTTCGAGAAAAAGACCAAACAGAGGTCATCATTGTCTATACTGATTCTGCAATACCACAAAACTTCACCTCTGTCATCCAAAAGCCTGCCCGTGAGATCTTGCTTCGAGCTGAATGTCTCCTCCTGATATTTGTCCCATACACCGGGCGTTCCTTTTACAGCAGCTTCAAAATCTGAAAATCGATTCAAAGCCTTGGCAGAGGGTGAGGCATACTTTGGATCTGCTACCACTCCACCAGATTTCTGATCACTTTCACCAAAGAAACCAGGTGGCTTGATAACTTTTGATTTGGAATGGTCAGAAGAAGACTCACGCATTCTCAAATGGTGTGGTTTCGAAACATCAAATTGTAAATTCAACCCCTCCTTAGTGTGTCCTCCACTAAGAGACAAATTACGCAAGCGATCCTGCTGGACTGTAACTCTAGAGGGTTTCCCACTTGTAGAAGACTCAGGAGACCCACTGGCTACAGGGCCAGCTGTTGCCCAAAACCTGCCAAGGAGATCCTCAGACCCTGGAGGAGATTGCTCGGGTTGAGTGGCATCGTTTCGTTTCGGGGGTCCAATGGGGCCATGAACCTGAGTCCTTGGCAACACGTTATCAGCTTGAATCCTGCCATTGAGCTCTTCCCCGAAAAGTTCCTCTGGGAAAGGTCCAGGTTTACTAACTGATCCACTCTTAGCGCTCCTCACAGTGGATTGCGATGAACCTAAGCTTTGAGAACTCTCACCAAGAAGAAGCTGTAATAGTTCAGCCCCATTCCCAAGAAACTGCTGTTGAGAAGGGATTGAAGGATGTGATAGAGGTGGAGGCAAAGGTGTTTCCAACAAACTACCTTGAACTGGACTAGTGTTCCATGCCCCAGCAATGTTACCACCATCGCTCGCTGCTTGCCGTAAATGCGGAGGGGGAGGCCAGGAGGCATCCGACTGCCTTGGAAATTGATCCGACATTAAATTGTCAGGCCCCCTAGCGTGCAAACCACCATATCCACGGGGATCGTGTGCGGTCAAGAAAAACTGATGATGCTGGTGCTGATATTGAAGCTGCTGCGGTGTCCAGACCCCTGCACCAGACAATCCTCCATACTGTTGTGGCATGAACAACTGATTTGGCTGCAAAATCTGAGAAGGTATATCTCCATGAAACGAGTGACTTGGACCTAATGCAGCTACTGCTGGATCTCGATACTGCCAGGTGGATGAGACATCTTCTCCCGGAATCGAGTCTAGAATGGATAGCCCCTCCGCAATACGATCCCCGTTCGCCTTAGGCTGCGGCATTCTTCCACCTACTTCACTGCTTCCAACTCCTCCACCCTGCAGAAGCTGCAGCAGAAACTCACCCTTCGGTTCCATTGCATGATGCCGGGCAGAAGGCTCTCCAATCAACCCTAGATTGGATTGAGTTACAGGAAGGGGAGTGAGGGACGGAGGGCCTAAAATAGAGGGCGGCGGGTGGTATGACTGGGAGGGGTTCATAAATGGAGGAAATCACGCATTCAGGAAATTCTTCAACTAGGTGGAGTGGCGTGATGCTTTATCCGCTTCTTTCCAGGATGGAAATATGACAATGCTTCGATCAACCCTCATCCTGAAACACTTCAAATGGTGCTCGTATTTTTTCCATGATGGAAAGCTGAACAGAACGTTACACTTGAGCTCCAACTTCCCAGAAAAAAATTATGAAGACGACAGGAGAGCCTCTGCTTCAATTGACTGCACTGCGACAACATAAAACAAATTTTCAAGGATGCGAGGGCCGCAATTTAAACGTTAAGTTCACACTTATTGTCAAAAGATTATCACGCGAGGTGTACTGGATAATGTGCTGACCATTGGTACGTCGCCCAAATAAAAGCATCTTGGGTGGACGGTCTATCAAAGATTGAACTGCATATCTACCATAATCCTCATCGAATAAATTTTCCCTGGTGTTAGGGAAACAAAGTACCAACCATATTTGAGGTCGCTTGGCAAACTGCAGGTGCAAGAACTGCAGCATGCATTTTTGCATCAAATGGGACACAAACCATTGTAAGGCTAATAAGAAACATAACAGGAAAGGAAAAAGTAGAGCTAGGATACACTGAGGCTCAGCTGAATTTGAAATTCACTAATGGATTTTAGTTGCAGAAACACTAAAAAAAGCGGAGGTGAAGTGGTTGTTTCAGCAATCAAACCCAAAACCATAATTCTACTCTCAGATCTAAATTGCCTCAAGTGCACCGTTCTTCTCCATGTGATAAATATTCATTTTATGTAACATTCCAGCAGTCCCAGCTTTTTAACACTAAATCATACACAAAAAATCTGAAAGCTCTTCGCTGCACCACGCATCTATCCCAATGACCGTCACAACAAACACCCACCAAGTATCGTACACCTATTCTACAATTTTTCACTACACAAACCTCATAACTAAGTACCTTGAATCGACGCCCACCCTCAAAACCCACCTCGCAACAAGTGCATCTTAACCCAACAGGCTGTTAATAACACCCAAATTCAGATAACAGCTCCAAAATGCATACCTTCTAAATCGAGATAGTTCGATTAATCTCCAGCTTCTAGGCACCAGATGGATACACAGATGGAATAGCACGCAACGAAACAGCTTCAAACAATCAATTCGCGGAGAATGAGCCCCATGTGAGAGACGCCCACTTACAGGGATATTTCCTGAATTCTCCCGCAAGGTGCCCTTGCACACACTCTGTGAGCGTAAATTCCTCAGTAACGTTACCCGTGCCTCGTTGGTTGTGGTAAACGAACCGGAGCTTTTAGGGTTAGGGTATCAGCACAGGAGCACTAGTGTCACGGTGATGGGTGCATGTGCCATATATTCCTCACCACCTCGGAACCTACTCTAATAAGAATAATATTCAACGATGACGACACGCCTCCAATGGGTTAATAAAGGAAGTCTGCATTTACTACAGACACACCGTCCTTCATCCATGAAGACCCCCTCGCATTGACTTCAAAACCCCTGCCACACTCCCGTTATTTGCAGTTAGATATGTACTTTTGATTAACAATGTCGTTGTTGCTATCGTGCCACCGATTCTCCAATTTTTGAATTCCATTCACTACGTAGCAGGAAGAATGAGACGACTTTGTGTAGCCGGGCTCTGATTCTGGATAGGATGTGGACCTCAGGGGTCAAGGTGAATTATGGTCTGCATGCGATGGTCATGAAGGTTCATAAATCATTGGGCAGAATTGGGGAGCTGAACCATGGTTGTTCTGGTTGAGGATGTTCGGGATTATTTGAGAGAACTTTTTATTGCCAGCTCCAAGATTCAGCGCTGAAGCTAAGGTGAATCGGAACGTGGGTCCAGTACATCTTTTTTGGGAATGTGAGATAGGAAAATTGGTTTGATGGAGATGGTAAGCGTGGAGGATGTGGAGGATCTCAACATCAAGCTTGTTTCGGATCGCGCTAAAACTCGGGAGGTACTGCTTCCAGTTGAACAAGTGCTCAGATACAGGGCAATGGAAACTAGAGTAGGGATATAGTAATTAGGTTTCGTTCTCTCTAATGGAAGAAAAGTTGTACGTATGCGGAGACCTTGAATAGGTCTAAATTGTCATCGTGAAGCAGATTTAGAGGTTTTAGGAATTTCTGGAATTAAAGGTTTTTTTTCCAGGTTTGCATTCCTTGAAATACTATTCTGGAATATCATATTGATTTTACTGAACTGCTCTGACCATCTGAAGTTGGTTTGTAATTCAGGAAGGCGTGCGAGCTTTGGCAAGCTACTTGGAGAGCAATGCTGGGTTGAGTATTTGCCCTTTGTTGGATCAGCAGACTGTGCTCTTGCGTCCCAACGACCGCATTCCCTGTAAGCTCGCCTTTCAGATTCGGCTTAGTCAGAAAAAGATGCACTTTGTTTTGGATAATTACAATTCACGTCTCAAATCCTTCATTCACCACAACTCTTGTTATCGCAAAGCATTGAATGCAATCAACTGATGATCTGCCTGAACACGTGCCTATTTTATAATGATTGCGCCGAGCTGTGAATTATGATTGTTGATATCTCATTGAAGGTTTTTGGTCCAAGTCTTACTTGATAAGTGACAGTTTTGGTCGCTAAGCGACTCATGTACTTCGTCCTCATCGATCTTGAACTGTTAACTGTCTCTCCACATGTTTCACAAAATTTTAAGTTGCACGATACTTTATAATCTTTACACTGGCAAATTTTCCATGTAAATGTAAGCAAAAGCATGTTTAAAGAATGTGTGCTATTCCAGCATGGGTAGCCAGCGTAGCTGTGTTGCGTTACTTCACACTATCCTTGTCATTGTTGATATCAAATTCTTTGAGATATGTTCTTTGAAGAAGCGAAAGAGCCTCAAAAGGACGTATCAGAACTGATTTTTGAATATGGCACCGTGATGTAGCTGCAACATGGCCAGGGGTTTTACACGCACTGTGCGATTGCATACTAATGGACGTTCTGGCCAGCAAAAAGCGGGGTCCAAAACCTATCCTGGCCAAGACTCTAAGGAATTTTATCCACAAAGCGGAAGACAAAAGTCGTTCAGGTGCGCATGAAGTTGTACTGTCCCCATTAGCTTCTATTGCTCTTCTAACTGCAAACATGCCAATGACGAGTGCATGGCAGATTTTCTAATGTCGTTGTGCCTTTGTCTGTGTCGCATTTACATTTCAATTACATCTCATTAATTGAGTAGCATTTACATTCCAGTTTATATGCTTGCCAGGGAAAAGCCACTTTCTCTTACGGAAAATCAAAAGATTGTTTCAGCATATACTGGATATGCTTCAAGAGGTGCCGGCTTTTTCGTCCGACTATAGCCACATTCTGCGTGAGCTACTTCCTGATGTTGAATATCGCATGCGTATGGGCAAGAAGATCTACAACGGTATTGTTTTAAAATTAGTTTTAAACCAATCTGATGTGTACTTTGAAACATCTAACCTGTGACTTGCACTTATATCAACAATTATTTATTTATTTATTTATTCTTGAGCAACTGTCGGATGTACTTTTTGTATGCTTCATGCTGCCGATGAATGAATGTTCTAGACTTAAAGTCCTATTTATTCAGTCCCTCAATGTGCTTTGCCCGGTTTTTCCATCTGCTTTCGTCAGGTCAAATATGTTCATGTCAAAGCGTAACCCTCTGTGTGTCCTTCTACGCTGCAACGACGTTTTGTATCATCATACTTTTACCTTCTTGCGTTTTATGTGGTGATTATTTGTTGTACCCATTGAATTATTTGCCTCACAGTGTCAAATATCCATCCTGAACTTTCGATTGTTCTCTTTGTGTGTAGATCTCGTGATCCTTTATTTAACGAAGGCAAAGGAGATTATACACACCCGCTCGTTTGAGGCCCCTTTAGCTAAAGAAGAAGCTTTTAGAAATACTTTAACACTACTTATTCTGTTGAAAAATCCACCCGGGGACTTAGCAGCGCATGTCAAGGAGGATGTCGTCGATGGCTTTTGTGACATCTTTGCATTCAACAGGTATCGTTCTTCATTTCGCTTGAATGGGAATTCTGTGCATTGCAGCTTCATCTCCCTTGTTAAAAACTGCATGCATGTGCTATTTCTTCCCTGTGGTGGTATTCAGAGCGGGATTCACTGCAACAGTGCAGGTTGTGTTTTCCTTCAGACGAAATGTTTTGCGTTGCGAAAAAATTGCTATTTTGTCGTAATGCAAGATTGCCCTTTGTGAAATGCAGAGATGAAGACCGGATAACTAAGAAGCTTGTCTCATCATTAAATGCTTTTTTGTTAATAGACGGATTGAATTTGGGAGATAAAGTAGCAAAGCTTCATTGTAGTTTTCGACCATTTATGGTGCGAACATGGTTAACTACACGAGATCGAGACTTGAAGGTACTGTAATTGTGCTGATTCATGCAATTTTAATCAGCTGATTCCATTTCTCTTAAACATGGCTGCTTGAGTCCTGAGGTCAGAATAGTATGATGTTTTTCACGCCTTCAAGTGGCTTTAAATTACTAAGCTGACTTTTCTTCTAAATTGAATCTTGATGTGGGGTCTCCCAACTTCTTCTTTCGCAGGATGAACTTGTGTTATATGCTCGAATTCAGTTGAAGCTTCAATACATTTTAACATTAGATGAAGGAATCGTGGTGGAAGAGCTCCTCGGGCTAGTTGAGAAGGAGCTTGATCAGATTGGAATTGTTCTTACTGCATACAATAGGTTGATTGTTCGTCAAACTTCTGGTTTACTGCTATAATATTTATTGATTTGATTGAAATTGTGCAAGTCGACCACAGCTACGTTAAAAATATATTCTTCTCTAGAATTCAGTTGATATTGAATCCTTGTTAAAGCGATCATCAAGATGTTCTTCTTGGAGCTTCTGTAACCCGAATTATGCCATCGCAGATACGATATCATGCGTGAGGACAAAGTTGGTTCTGTCAGCCGTAGTGAACGAGGCTTTCTTGAATTTGCTGCGGCGGTTCTTTTTGAGGTATACAAGTGCTAAGAGGAAGTAGGTACATCAGTTTGCATTTCGAAGTTAGATTCACAACTAGGCACCCACGAAAGACTCTGATTGTGGAGATACATGTTCTGACAATCAATTTATCGTTAGAGTTTTGGCTTCACTCGGGAAATTAAATTGAGCATTTGTGTCCACTGAAGCAGCTTGCACTCTATGCTGGGCACAGTAACACTATCTACAGAATTCACCCCATCAACTGTGCAGGTTGGCAAGAGAGATGAAATTGGGAGGTTGTATTGGAGTGCCAGTAAGCGCAAGAAAAGGGATCCTGTTTACACTCTTGTGGGAGAGAAGATAATTGCTGCCAAGACCTTGTGGTGTGTCATTTAATGTGATCTGTGTTGTATTTCTTTATATTTCTATCAACTATGATTGATATATCTGAAACGAGTTTGGCATTAAGTTTGCTTTACAAGCAGCAGTGATTGGCTATTATTTGCAGGGATGGAGCTTTCTGCATTTTGATTCGTAATTTCGGGCCTCAATTACCCCCTAAAAGTCTTGAAGCCTGGCTTGATGGTTTATCTGGGAATTTAGAACGGTACTATTCGTCCCACGAATTTTGTGATCAAGTTCGATTATACGGCTTTTCATTAGCTGTATAGAGCACTTCGCTGAGTGCTTTGTGTTGGCTAAGAAAGGCTACTCTTAGATATGAAACAAAGACTAAGCATTTGAAAGAAAGGGCATGCGTGACTGATTCAAGCAGGATGATGTCATTGTGCACAGTTTCCGTGCAGAAGATACATTCATGTCTAGAAATGTAATGGTTTATATATGGAGGCGCATTTTATATCTTTAATAATTCCTGGTTTCATTGACTGGGCATGTGTTGGATCTTTTTCTCTGTTGGCAGAGTGATGAGTGAAGGTGTGAACACCCGAAGCTTTGGAACTCCTGTTTGGACTCTCCGGTATTTTATTCCTTAATACAATTTATGAATTACCGGATTTAATTTAAATGAAGTTGAGTAGCATACTGCGGTGCTTATTCGATTAAGTTGCTTGGGGTGTGGTACTAGGTCTTTAGTTTGAGCTAAAGCATTAGGAGGAGAAGATTCTTGGTCATTTTTCCCAGGGCATGGAATTCGTATGCGACTTATTCATTTAAACGTCAATGTATATTCGAGTTGAAACTGCATTTGTGTAAGTGTTACGAATACACCTAGCATGTTTCTCGCATGACAGTTTCCTTGCGTTTGCTCACAGGTGCCTCCAAGAGTTGAGCAGTCTTTGGTGTGATGCGGTCAATTCTTCAGCTGACACGTTGAGCAGGGTATTATGATAAGCTCTATCTATCTGTGTCCTTAATGTTTTTCCTCACAAGTGGCCTTCCACATATGACTTAGAACGTAATTATGACTATCTGCAATATTCTCATTGCACATCTACGTGATTGCTGTTGTTTTGTAGAAATCAAGCGTATGGCAATCCATTTGGGAATCCGTGCTGCATTGGCTACCTTTGTTCATAAACGTTTCTATCATGGTGATACTTCAATCACGCTGTCCAATTTAGTTTGTTTGTACTTCATTTCCTTGTCATGTAATCCATGCGAAGATCATACTTTTGTGCTGCAAGTACTTCGTCTTTGCTCTAGAGCTGTTTGTGAAATGTTCATAGTACTGGAAGTTGACTTAGGTATGGAAACCATTTATAACTCTATTGATGGTTGATACATTTGACTGAACTTTGCTGACACGGATGTTGATCCTCATGATTCACTACAGGTGGATGAGGCATTTCGTCTACTTGGACTTATAGCTACCATGGTAAGCAAATTTCATTCCTTTTTGTATTTTGAACGTCGATAGCTTCGGTATGTCTTTTTTTGTTTGTGGTCAGCATTAGTATAAATCGAAGGCCCTTGACGGTGTTCAAGCAAAGTGTACTCCACATTTTAAGGTCATTCTTATAAACGTGGTGCAAGTGATGTGTAGTCTTGTTAGAATATGTTCTACAGTTCTGATTGGATTGTCATTAATTTTATTCATTCGTGTTCCAAATTGTTTTCCAAAGTATATAGTTTAGCCAGTGCCTTACACGTTAGAGATTTGGGAGTCCTGACTTTTTTCCAGTACTCGATTTTTTGGATTAGAATATGATGCTACATTGTTGTTATACCCCACTCGTTAACTTTTCTAATATAAGATGGAGTTCATTAATTAAGTTGGATTTCACACTCTGGACCACTCTTGTGACTTCTGCATTGTTTGCTTAGAGATTGGTGCCAGTGTACAACGTTTCTCCAGATTTTTGGGAGCTTCAAGTATTTTCAGAGGTGCCTTCTGTGTAAGTGCAAGTTGGTGATGTTGGAAGCAGTCCGTAGCACAAACAAGTGCATGCTCGTTCATGGTTTTCACTCTTAGCAAATCATTAAATTTCCCCAATCAAGTGCTTAAGTGTGTCGCTTGCTTGCTTATTGTTAGGAGCTGGGCAATCCTGTGGCTGTGTACTTTGAGGATCTAAGGATTTTCTGAATTGTGTTCATCTACTTACTGATTCGATGGCGTTGCTTGATGTCAGAAATATACTCTTTTTCACTGCAGCGTTCTTTACCAGTGCCGGAAGCCAGGTACCCAAACCTTCACATTTTCTATGAATGGGGATATCCCAGCAATGTTCACCTTTGGGATTCAGAGTTGCTTAATGTCCTGATGCCTGACAGTTAGTTTTAAAGCTGATTTACAGATTATCTAATATCAGACGAAAGCTGATTGGTTTAGGATTTTTGAGGAGCTTGGCAAGGTTATGATAAGTTGATCATCAGTAAAAATGTGGTGGCTTTCTCACCGTTTCAATTTGTTTCACAAAACAGGTCGTAACAAAAGGTGACCTTGACCTTCGCAGCAAGCTTCTGAAATGGTCATTGACATATCTGAATCCCCAGGTCAGAGCTTCGTGACATCTGCGTGCTCTTTCTTCTGCAATTGGTGTACGTATTGTAGAGTTGGTGGCCTCTTTGTTCATCTGCAGATAGATAATGAACACTACATTAACATCCTTATCAACTTTCTCAAGTCTTACTGCTAATCAAACAATCTTGCAGGATTGGTGGTACGTATTAGATCTTGTTGTTAATTTCTCAGTTATGTAAATTACCGTAGTTTCTTACTACAGTAGTTGTAATGTCAAACTCATTTCAGGAGACTGAGAAAGCAAAAGTAGCAGCTTGGAATGAAAAGTCGTTGATTCTTCTCAGCGGATCAGTATTAGCGCTTAGTGTGGGCTTTGTTCCACTGCGTCCTAACGACAAGTTATCACTTCAAAACTCAACTTGCGTGTCACTGGATGTAACAAAAGAATTGTCTCACTGGGCAGAGGTAAACCTGATTCTTGACCTTGGTTGCATTGATATGCTGGAGTATCACCTGAAGCTATTGATTCTCTGTGTTGGCTTTTATACGCTTATTGACTACAATTCTTGTATCCTTTCCCTGGCCATTCGGGCTATTACTTATTGTCAAAAACTTTAGTTTTCAATATATTGAAGGCGTTTAAATTTTTCAGTTTCATATGATCTGAGGTGCTCGGTCTGATGTGAGTCATTACTTTTCTTAAAATACTGCACGTTTCTTGATTTCAAATTTATTTGAATTGTAGTTATTGTAAGTTCAATTAGTTGTTTTTTATAGAGTTTTGAAGTAGTAAATTGTCATGAGCTGCTTTGTTGCCTGTGCAATGACTTCAGTGCAAGGAACCAGAGGTGGAGCTTGATTCTATGGACCGCTCTTCATACACATCCTCCAGCATGGGGGTTATTATCACTCACACGGTATTGTCGACTTCATTTTGGACCTCTATAGGAATTCAGATGTTTTACTCCTTTGGTCGATCTAGCCTCATAATACAAATTGGCCACTAGATGAAACATACAATACATCTTTCAAGGTCTTCATCGTGCACCAGTGTAGCGACGACATGGAAATTTTGTATACCCTCCAGGTTTACGGGAGATAGTGTTTCAAGGAAATAACGTAACCATCATATTCTAATATTAGATGTAACTGCAGTATATCCTGTCGTTGAGCTTTATGGTTGCACAGAACCCTATATTGTAAATATGATTTCTCAAATAATGGGCAAACGTATGTTACTGAGCGCTCATATAATGAAATTACATGAAATGAAGAATTTGAGTGTAAGTTTATGCTTGAGATTACGCAGGATGCATCCGATACTCACACACGGAGCAACCCTTTGCCACGGTCAAGCAGTGACGTTCTTCTGCAGCGCCTATCTGAGCTGCTTTTGCAAAATGTGAATACTGCTCTGGAAAAGAACGACCTGGCAACCTCGTTACCTTACCTTTTTTCCTCATGCGGATTGCTTGCTAACTGCATCTATGGAGTTGAGTATTTAATGCAAAGAAGGTGAGATTAGCTTCATGCCGGCTAAACTCCGAGATTAAAGCGTTTTCGTAAAAGTTGAAATTTCGTTTTGTTTCATATGTTGGTCAATTTGTTTCATATGTCCGTTCTCGTTGCAACGGGCTGGTTGTGATCGGATGTAAGTCCTGTTGCGAGTTCATTTATTATCAAAGTTAGATCTGAGTATATGAAAGGATGCATCCGCAACTGTCTTAGAGTGTACCAATTAAGATTGGCGTGCCCATTTTCTGCTTACTGAAATTTTATAGAAAGTTACTTTTGACGTTTCTAATTTTATATCGTTTTTCTTCATTCTTTTGAAGCAATGCTTGTTCATAACCTAACTTCTCTTGGTCTGCTTGATCCAGGGGTCAACGACTTCCAGATTGGTGTCCTAATGGTAGACTATGGCTAGGCTTGTCAAACATGCTTGAAATTTGCTTATCTGTTCTTGAGAATTGCAGAAACCGCATTGAATCCAGTGATTCATCCAGAAGTTCTTTGTCTGCTTCTTTGAATACATTTTTTCATGAGTTTACACCAGCAGCACTATCAGCCTTTTCATGTTTTTTATCATCACCGGGGCGGGCGACCTTGGTATGCAGTGGAGGGCTCGCTTATGAACTGGACACATCAGTTGCTGTTCTTCCGATACTGACCAGGTTTTTGGAATCGATTTCTAGTGCGCTGACCTTCACTGCAGCTGTGAAATCTTCAGCTCAAGAAGAGATTCCAGGCAGTCCTGTAACATTGACTGAGGAGCGTGAGGGGAAAGTCAAGTTGATGGATGTTGATTTAGATGAGTTCTCAGAGATGGGTCCCCAGGGTTCCCAAAAGCTTGAAGGGTTACGCTCGAAAATGAGAGGTGACAACTGTCTGTACGATCAATGGAAGGAGCTTTGTTTGAAAATTGTTGCTGACATTGGGCGTATTTTGCCAGAGACAACGTACAATGTTCTTTTTAAACTACTAGACAATGAGGAAGATATCAAGGTTTGACGAAGTGACCTTGCTCGAGAAAGTCTAGAATTAGAACATTATTAAGATTAAATCTTCTTTCTAATTTTTATTTTTCATCCTACATCATCTGCCTCAATGGCCAATGATCTCTTTTCTGCAGTTTTCTAACTAAATCTCAATAGCCATAACTTGCGTTCCTAGTAACAAAAGCAGACTGATCTAGGCGTCCACCATGTCTTATGCTTATAATTTGTGAGAAAAATGAACCCAGAAGTTGGTGCTCGCCCTACTTTAACCAAGGTGGAACTAAATTTCAAGTTTTCATTACGCCTCTTATGTCGTTTTTGATAATCGATTCAAGTGTCTTGACTTTCGTGCCTTGTAAAATAGGTTCGGTGGAAAATTTTGCTTATTTTATGCGACCTTACGAAGGAGAAAACTATTGAACATCTACCTGAATTGGTGGGTTTCTGATCTGCGCTCCCTACTTTGTGACTTAAATTACATTGTTTTCAATTTGAAACACTGTTGATAATTATTGAAGGAACAAGAGATTTGCGTTCCCAAACCTCACAACTCAGTTATTTGTTCTGTTCACACTTTCCTCAGCCTTTTACGTTACACAAGATGTCATCAACGTTTCTTCAATGTTTTTTTTGTGACATTCAGGTGCGCTGCATGGAGAGTTTTCGCGAAGTCTGCCTGCATAGTGAGTCTGGGCGATTTAATATTTTGTCAGGCATCGATGCTATACTGGTTAACTTACTGATGCAAGATCAGGGTGCTGCCAAAGTTGGTTCCTTCAAAGATATGCAGCTAGTTACACAAGAGGTTGACGACGTGCTTTCAACCGTGTCATTTGAATTACTTCATCATAGAGATTCTATAAAAAGTGCTGAGAATTGAAAGTACGTACTGTTATCAATGGTGGTGAAATTGCACCAGTTATGACGTATCCAGTTTTTAAGATTGGAGAGTAACACTGTGATACTGCGCGCGTGCTATGGCTGATTTGTGAAAGGACAGGCTTTGCCTCAGTTGGCTTCTTTCATTTCAGATTTGGAGAATATTAATCTGCTTTGGCCTACTCGAATTAAGTTTGTTAACACGGTCTTTAACTATATTCTGGTCTCTCCAAGTACAGCTCAGGTATTTCTTAAAATTCATTCTTGCGAAGTAACCACCTTTCTCATCCTCTAGAGCTGAGGCCTTGGTTTAACATACAGATTGCTCATACAGTTCAGTGAATCAAGTTACCTTATGGCATGTTTTCCTGCATTTGGAGTTTAGCACTGTTAAATCGGATGTAACTGCCTTTGAGTCTGCAGCAAAAAAAAAGTTGAATTTATAATAACTTTTGATGATAAAAGTGATGCCTCAATGCTGTATCGGATTTCTACCATGAGTTGAGACATTCTTTTGACGGGTTTCATGACCTTCTCTAAGCTGTGTCGAGATTGATTTGGTTCGCAGGTGTTAACCGAGAAACTGCTGAGTTTTATGCACGATGTAGAGTACAGAGTTCGACGTTTAATGTGTATGCGAACCAACGTCTTCTTCCAGACCTGGGATGGTCATCATGGACTATTCCGTGATGTGTGGTATGTTCACAACTTTAAGGAACGGCGAAGAAAGAATCTGATCGGTGTCTATGAGAAAACAACAGGCTGGAATTTTTTGTTTTGTAGTGTTCTTGTTCTTGAACAGTTATTCTTTGTAAATGTTAACAATCGAGTTCCGGGCTGTGGTATGTCTTGAGAGACTGGGTCTGGGAATCGGAATCCTTTCTTGTTTGTTGATAGTTGTAGTTGTTGGCTTATTTCTCAGCGCTAATTTTGGAGTCAAGATGGTGATGGTGACAAAAAGCAAGGTTGTCCGGGCATCAGAAGTTGAATTGGCTGGTTCACAAGATACTCCCTTTACAGAAACTGCCTTGTTAACATTAGCAGAGATTGCTGCGTGTAGTGACAAAGTGGAAGGCGAGGTGAGCTGAAGGAATGTCATTTGACATCTGTGTATTCTTTTATCTGTGTAAGACTTGCCACACTAACCTTCCCAAATTTAGCTCCATTACGAGTTTCGAAGGTCTTTTGCAGAATCTTTGGACTTAACGTGATTTGTCTTGCAGGCATTGTTTATGCTATGTGCGCATGCTGCCTTGAATCCATCACAAAGGTTACACTTTCTATCTTCTTTTTGTGAGCACAGTTTGATGTTCGAAAGCCCTTAAATGTTCGAATTCAAATTTGGTCTATGATTGGGCTTGCTACTACATATAGTATGTAGTTGCACTTCGTTCCGTTATTTTATATAACATGCTCAAGCACCTAAGAGTTTAGAGATAGTGATATTGATTGAGTAAGTCGCAATTTGAATGCAATGTCGCTAACTCTCTTGCTTTCATGACACTGCTGCAGGTCTCTTGTCAGAAATGTCCTTGACAGAGTAGCAAGTCAACTACAATATCCACATCGCTGGACGGTCAGTATGGTTCTTGATGAATTATGTTCCTCGACAACACTTAGTGAAATATCTCGATTATTTTGTGGCTTCTGATTTTTTCAGCTTGATTATAAGGCTTTGGGTATCTACAAGAAGGCCTTAAGTAGAAAATATTGGCTTTGTTATCTATATTCATTCTTCTTGGTGGTTAGGATTCTGGTGGGATAGTTATGTCTTTGAAGCTTGAGTGTAATTTATTTGAGGTTTTCCTAGTTTTTATAGATTATTATTATTATTATTATTATTATTATTATTATTATTATTATTATTTATTTTGTTTCACTGAGTCACGGCTTTCTCTTGGTTATCAGATCACACAAGTTTTGCTTGGAAAACTCGAGTCCTTCCGTAACTTTCCACAATTCCTGTTGAACAGATTCAGTCGTCCTGAGATGTTTTGTTGAAACCTTTTTCAACGGGTTGAAAGTTCGTGATAGGCTCTTAGGTGTATTCAGACCACACCACATATTGTGACGATTATTTATCTTGTTTGCAGTACTTCGAGTACGTGATGGGAGCGCTACTGAGCAGATGGGTCATAGCACGTCTGTCAATACCGTCACTTGTTGAGGTTGGCTGATCATTTCATAATTCTGCGATGTGTCCTGCACCTATGGCGTTTTCAATTTTCAGCTTAGAATTCTCGTGTTGACATGTTAGTAATGGAATTGCTGAAACAGTAAAATGTTTTGAAGTACAGTGTTACTCTGTGTCGACCTACAGTTTGTAGTCTACGCGTTTTTACTTCAGTCCACTGTCATGTGACGAGCGATTGGGTGAAGTTTCTGGATTTTGTTTTGTTGCTTATTAGCTAGCTCTCGCTTTTACTTGATCACTGATCCTGATAAGAATCATGACAAATGCATGTTGGTTGTTTCTTTTTACTTAAACGACTTTTGTTACTTTTTTGTATCCAATTTCCGTAATGTTTTCAGATCAAGGACTTACTCAGTGAAAGATCAGCCGTAGCGATGTTCCTCGAGCAATGCTGTCCTTGGCTGCTATCATCTCTTTTTCTTCATGATGACAAGGATGAACTGCAATGGATTGCCAAGGTGTATACTCGACTATTTTTATTACTCTTACATGCTGCTAGATGTGATTTTTTCATTTTTCTAATTTGCTGGAATACTTGAAATGGTGATACATATATTTGTAGAAACATCCTCGTGATCATAATCGGTGTGCAGTTCTCTTGTCCTGATCTTGAATCTCGAGTTTGAGTGATTTCTGCAGCCGATGCTGCATTTTTCCCGGTTTCAAGTCGCAGCAACAGCTTTAAGATCAATCTGTTAAGACGAAGCTGATTGGTGATAAATCTATCCTGATAATGTGTTCAACTTTTGCAGAGCATGTCTCTTTCGCTCTCATCATTGGTAAGGCAAAATTTTGCTTCCATCTTCGCAGGCCTTTTGCCTATACATTCCCATGGAACGGAGGATGAACAGGATAAGGCTGGAGCTGTTTTACAATTGCACATGCTGACAGCAGCTGAGTTAACAGAGGATGAGCGTGATACTCTCATTCGGAAGCACATGGTGTGTGTCCACTTTCACCTTCCCAGGCATTAGTAGTTTGCCATTCTGAATCTTGGTGGCGTCTTTGCCCGGTTATCTTCATTATTGACTTTTAGCAATACTTTTTGCAGATTTCTATTGTGAGCTTTCTTTTCAGACTATGTGGTGCCGCGGAGACACCAGAGCTTCCATACTTCTCAAAAGCTGCCATTTCGTCAGCTGTACGAACTGTTGTGGATGGATTTTTGGATACGTATGGGTTCGAGCGTCGTACCATCAACGATATTCTCAGCTCGTGTCTATGTCCACCTCAATCTACGATAGAGTTTTAATTATTGAAATCAGCTGAACCATGAATGCTTACAAGCAATTGTAACCTCCACCTTTAATTCTGTGAACTTGGCAAATGTTTTCGTTTTGCAGAGAACAAGTCTCGGAAGAGGGGGGAGTTGTTGACAAGATGCAGGTTTTCCGACCCGATCGTGTATTCATGGTAGGTTCTGTGGGGTATCAGTATTTAATTTTGCGGATCCCATCTAACAGGAGTAAAGTTAACCCAGCAAGAGCAACCACGTGCCTCGAAGAAATTTACTGATTCTAGCACTTTTTAGTTGGAATCTCTCACTCTGAAGAACTTTCCCTGAATGGTTGTGCAGCTTCTGCTCCACCTTCACTACGAGATCGACTCGGCATACCACCCACGGCATCGACGCCATTTGTTGGCTAGCTTGATGGCTATAATGACTGTAATAGATAAACGTGTGATCGTCTCTAGCACTTTTCGGTAAGATTTTTCTGCTCAAAGATGTTGAAGAGAATGCTTTATGTAGTTATATCAGAACAATTTTTTGTTCTCGTTCTTCTTAAATTTTTATCTTATTCACTTCGTCGTAGACTCCTGTATCCTGACCTCATCATCTTCTTGTTTCGATCGCAGTTACATCATACATATCATCTTGCAGTCTATAAATGTCAATGAACTTCAAGATCAATGTTGCGGCCTCTTAGGATACCTCCTAGACCAAGTGGAATCTTCGCCATTAAGCGCAAATACCCTTGATGACCAGCTTCAGGTACCTATAATAAATACTTCAATATTGATCTCTGTGAGCACTCAGCAATGCAAAAATGCTGTGGGTTCGGACCCTCATCTGCATCTTGTGTTTCCACTAAGATTTCTGAAGTGGTTGGATACGATTCTGTTGACTGCAATATTGCTCTAATTCTGTTTGTGACAGTTGGACAATATTTTGGGTGCAATGTGTTAGTTCTGAATTTGGATTGTCGTAACGAAGTTCGGAGAGCTAAGATACTGCAAGTGGAGGTTGATAGAGTGTTAAAGCAATGCCTCTTATCCCTTCTTCTGTGTTGCACTGCTTCTGCTACAGTCAATCGTCTCGAAGCTAGTGTCTTGCATCACAGCATATGACCAAGTTTCTCTTGATGTTGATGGGCTTCAATCGAATCCTTCACATCAACTGCACATACTGGTAGGTTTGCTGGAGCGGTTAACAGTTAAAGCCAGTCGCTCTCTACATGATTCAATAAAAGTAAGTGTCTCAACGACTATTAGTGGTACTGTGTCAACTCAGTAACCAGTATGTTTTAGCATTATATCAGGCTGTCTGTTGATTCAACCATGGTAGTTGCCTTCGGGAAATTACATCTGCTGCTTTGCTATGCTATTTCATTTCTAGGGCCGTTCATGTTGAATTATAGCTACTATTGGGTACTGGGTCCTATAGCCGTTTCTTTAATTCAGGATAAAAGACTTTCATTTACTAGTTGGGAATATGCAATATTCTGTTTATTGAAATATTGGACTCTTCTATGATCCTTTCTTCCTTTTACATTGATGATGTATTTTCGAGTATATTGCTCAGGAATTGAACCCTTTTCCGAAGCTGCCAATTTTTGAGCCCATGCGAGCCTTGCATAACTCCTTGTGTAGTGGAAGAAGTCTTGCAGATGAATTTGTCCAGGTGTGTATATTTAACTACGAAGTTTCTACTATTTGAGATCAGTGACTTGACCGCTTAGAACATCTTCACATGACATTGATCATCCCTGACACCACACATTGAAGATTTCATGTTCGCGTGTTGAAATGAGCCACTAGAAGACAAGATCTTTTGTGCATTTCCATGAAACATTTTATGAATCTCTCGTTGATGAGTAGCAAATATTTTGTCCATGGTCTCAACTAGAAATTTCAGAATGGAAACAATTTCTCCAGGTATCAATTTGATGCTTTTTAGCGTTTGCTTTCAGCTCTAAATTCACTGGCATTCAGGTTGCTAGGTTTATTCCTGAAGTCTTTGCATATTTTCCACCATTTGCAGTTTGTCAAAAGAGCGCCGAGCCTTCCACCTCAACTTCAACTTATCAGGTTTGTGTCATAGGATGTTTGAAGCTGTTATAAGATGTCACAAGTCCTTTAAAGCTGATATCGAGATCACTGAAAAGAACTCTTCGTAAAAATAGTGATGACGCGGATGTTTTATGATTCGGACATGATGCTTTAACTTCCATGTTGCGCAGCAATTTCTTATTTTCCATGATTATATGAGTTTAAGTATGCTCCTGAAAACTGATCAATTAATACGTGTCACCTATGTGCATATCATTGTTGTAGTTACTTACCATGTCGGTGGTAATCGTTGCAGCTTACAAAGTCTTGCAAATGAGCTCAAACATCGAAAGTGCGAGTTGTACGCGCATCCATTTATTAGTAAAGACGGGACCAGGTGGCGATGTAGTTCTAAAGTTGTGTCAGCGACCTGGAGATTAGTGCAACTATGTGACGAACAAAACTTTACTGACATGCGTGATCTTGCGGGCATGTTCTTGGCTGCTGTAAGTCTTCTGCCTGACGATGTTTCAACTTTCTAAAGTGCTTAATTCATAGCTCAAATTCCATTATTAGATTGAAATGTATGAACCAGTCTCCGCTTGTGTCTTCATTTCTCATGTTAAATGTTAAATTAAAAAAAAATTGACGCCATATGTGTTGGCAGGTTGGAATGGGTAACCCTCACGCTGTTGTGTTTCATTTGCCTGAAGAGCCTGAAGAGGATCTTTCTCGGTCATCTGCAATAACAGATGTTACGATGAACACAGAGTTGGGTCCATCAGACATCTTTTTGAAGAAGATCATGATACAAATGCGAGGTTACCTCATTGACAACAATGTACAAATCATAGAACTGACCTCCAAGACTTTGAAGGTATTTTCTACTCGGTTTTGCTGATTATTACAATAATATTTTTAGATATTCGAAGTTAAGATTACTTGATGTTGAATTACGACAGCTCAAATAACCCAAGCCTCCATGTTTCGTCTATCATTATTATCCTTAAGTTGTAATGTCTTAAAACCAGTAACCTCTTAAGTTTTTGTACAATTGCTCCTCAGTATTGAGCAATTAAGAGTCAAGTATCTTATTAAGAACAAGGTAATTTTCAAAGGATATTAATTAATAATGTAGTGGACGTATCAACATTGAAGTGCTCCGGGTTTATGCAGGGATTGCTGTCAACTGATCAAGGCCATCGTGTTTTGAAAACATTGACATTCAATGATAGAGCTTACTTAGAGGTACTCTCAAAGTTCATCTAGGACCAATCAGCAACAATAGCGAGTAGCCCATGTGGTTTACATAGATACTTTTCCTACGAATAATCCTTACTTTTAATTATCAACACAAGCTTGTAGGAATCGTAGGTTATTTGCTGGATCTTAATTATGCAGACTTTACTTGAGTGGTCCCAATGATAGGTCAATAATTAGCGCTAACTTTTTGCATGTGACATCCTCAAATAATCGTCACAAACTTTAGCTGATAACCCTGGTTTTTAATTGGCAGGTTCATTCCAAGGGAATCAATCTTAAACTTGTTGAAGACTTGCTGAACACATCAAAGCAACAGTCAGCAAGTAAGCGGCGCCAGCTCACTAAACACTACTAGTTTTCGTTGTGTATACGAAGTTGTGTGATGGCAGATATTGAATCTGTAACTTCTCATTCGATATCATTTGTAATGATGCCTTGTCTATATTTATTTAGCCTGAAATCTCGTTCTTTGCTGGGATTGATCGTAGGTGTAGCAACCCCAGTTGAGGAGCCACAACTCTGGAGAACAACTGGCAAAGCATATAACACTTGGATTTGTGCACTTGTGCACTCTCTTATAGAGTATACAGATGACCAGATATTGAGGTAACGGAATGTGTACGTTTTTCATGATTTGATACGCCTTCTAGTTGGGTCAACGTCCAGTCATAGGTAATCATTCCATATTCGATAACTGACCTTTAATTTTTGATAATCTCAGCGTTCTCATTCTGCTGATTGTCCGGTGCTGGAACATGTTGTTTTGTCTGTGATCCATGCATTTTATCTGCTGTGTCAGTAAAGTCTAACCACTTCAATGCATGGATATGTTAGGATCTGCCAAGGTTTAGCGTCGCAGAAGGCTTCTCTTGCCGAACTTGTCTTTCCTCATGTTCTTGGAGACCTTGCTGCACGAAATGAATCGGATACCGAATTATGTAAAATAATTTCAAAGAAGGTAAGTCGATGCCACTGCAAGATTGAACTTCACCACTAATCGCACATTGTTTTTGAACGTGACAATATATAAGTAGCGCGAAATGGATTGCATATTATCCAGTGATGCCTCTTTAGCATGTATCTTGCTGTAATTGAAGTATTTCCATCATCGTGTATAATGGAAGGTTCACCTACTACGTCAGTGGCATGCAAAATAATGTGGCCCTCTGAATATAACGTTCTCTAACTTGGATTTTTTATTCAAGCCTCTTTTTAACTATGTAAGCTGGTAAAATTATCGGGAAATATTTGCAGTCATATAATTTTTTTCATCTAGCACCATGACACGTTTCACGTAGGTTGAAGAGCACATACTGGGCGAGGAAAACGGGGATATGCGTTCAATCCAGCTATTTCTGAGTGCTCTCAATACTCTTCGGTGTAGCTATGTTGCTGCTACTATGAAAGGTCCATCTGCGACGGATAAAGACAATTCAAAGGTTCGTAACTACATACAATCAAAGCAATGTGTTATATTTAAAGCTACTCTTTTGGGTCAGTCATGCTTGTTGAAAGAAGCATCACATTACAAGCGCATTCTCTGGGTTCCTGTAAGTTGATATTTGCCCATATTGTCAACTTCACATTGATTACGCTAGCATTTTAGTTCATGTTCATGTGTGACGGTTGGCTTTGTATCTGAATTTTGGTCTTACCTGTGTTCAGAGAGATAAGACACCCGGAAGTAGTGGAGATGGTAGAAATGGCTCTGCTCGGAAGAGGAAATCCGGTGTAGGATCTTCCGAGCAAGGTGGTGCAAACGCAGGAAGGCATACATCAATATTGAACTGGCAGAAGGTTTCACGTCTTGAAGAACTTGCCTTGTAGAACCTATTCTGTTTGCAGGTCTTTTTATTTTTGTATGCACTTTTCAGTTAGTAAAAAATCTCCATCCCATTTGAAGTGAAGAAAAGTTAAAGCGATTATTTAAAGCTTTTATTTTGTTAGTTATTGTTGTCGCTGACGTTAGAATAGTACACATCACAGTCCTAATATTTGCACCTTGGTGACGTGCATGTTTTAATAATGATCCCAGTTCAGCAAAGTTCTCAACATATGCATGGTGTTAATGTTCACTATATTTCGTTATATGGAAATGCCTAATGCACGTCTGACTGCAGGTGTATTGGTTGCAAATTGACTATCTCACAACAGCAGGAGCAGCCCAAGTAAGCAACATTCACATTTAAATATTTTACTTCACACATTAAAGCTTAGCAAAAATATTGATCAATTTTGAGGTTTACATGAATTTGTTTTAATGATGGTGAGTTATTCGAGATTATAGAGACCTTCTTTCTTCTGTTACATATTAGTGTTTATAGAAGAACATGTTAAAGATTATGAAATTTAGTTGGGAAGTCTTCGGTGTTGTTTGTAGGAGTGAATCAGTAGCTTATTGTTCTCTTGGTGTGCTTCAGCGGTGTGCGGCATATTTTACGACAATCTTGTATGTGGAGCACTGGTGTAAGGACAAGTTCGGAAGCCTCACACTTGGTGAGCCTGACTTTTCTATGGACAACAAGGTACTCCTACAAACTTCAAATGAAATTAAATCCTTCCTGTTATAAATCTGTTGTAGACGTTTGCTCACTAAAGAGCGATCCTTAATATTTGAAAATACACGAAAGAATTTAGGATGCTTAGTTAACGTAAGAGATTAGATAGTCACCGTGTGAGCATCTATTTATTTTGTAACATGCCATTCACCAACATGATTCATAACTTTGGATCCCAGAGACTTCGATCAATTTTAATTCGTTTCTCGAATTCTAGTTTGTTTTACTAACTATTTTGTTTTTTGATCAGCTGCCTGCTCATATAGAGCTGCTTTTGTTGGTGTATACAAAAATCAATGAGCCTGATGGCGTGTACGGTGTTGCACGCTCTCATAAGGTATTTAATCTATGATAGTAATATTTAGGACTGGAGATTTTGTGCTTCACATGAAATTCTAGTTGCAAGTTGCTGTGATGATTATGACCTTCTCGTGAAGTGATCTGATACTGCTGAGTGGGACGATTCTTGGTTTGGATCTCTTTTATTCTAGCAGATTACTGAAATGCTGCCTAGTTGTGATTGTTCACAATCACTCACGAACCTGAGTGACTCTGATTTGTTGATTTTTAGGTGAGATCGCAACTCCTTACTTATGAACACGAGGGAAATTGGAGCAAAGCTGTGGAGACATATGATCTGCTCTTACGAAGTAGGAAATCGCCATTACTAAATCTAAGATCAGGTGACGTCGCAGAATCCTCTACAAATGGATCTAAAGAGCAAAAATGGCAATCTCATAAAGGATTGATGAGATCATTACGACAAATGGGATGTACTTATGTGATAGACCTTTGCAATCAAAGTCTCGCACAGCAAAGGGGGCTTGAAAGTGATTCTGAGTTCAGGGAACTGCAATATGAGTCGGCGTGGAGGTCATGTAACTGGGACAACAACCTATTTGATCCTGATTTTGTTGACGATCTATCCTGTAACCAAGTGGGAGAGCAGAAGGGAGTCGCGTTTCATGCACACTTGCATAGGTCAGATTTTGCTGATCACAGTAATACTTTCAAGCTGTTTCGTTTGATTTTTTATGCTATGTGTAGATTTAAGTATCACTTGATTATTTTACCTATTTAACTCAGCACTAGCTGAAGCCCTATGTCGTGTGCGCTGATTTGTTTGTCTTGGAATTTAACCATCATTTGGTCCTCGTGCTATATCTGTAATCTGAATCAGTCGTTTATTCATTCGATAAGATAATTCAGTGTTTATTGTGAAATGGTTGCTTTCTTGAACAGATTTTGGACATTTTTGCACTTATGAGAGCTATGTGCAAATACTTCCCTAGTGGTTGCAACTTAACTTGTCGAACACCTTCAGTTGGAATAACTTCAATACACGGTCTGATGTATTGCTTTCTTGTATGGAACTCACATGCAGTTGTTTAAGAGCGCTGGTCGAAGGTGATGCTGAAATCTTTTATCCTCGGTTGCAACAGGCAAGACAGGTATCAGCATCATCTCTGATCAAAAGCCGTATGTGCATATAAGGATTTAATTTTTGTGAAAGGTTGGATTTCACATTGATCCAGATGGCCGAAAGTTCACTTCTTTGACCTTATTCTTTAACGTTTTGGATTAGCCAGAGGCATGTGCCTGCAAGTTAGTATTATACACTTACGCATTTCATGTTACAAGACTTACTTTGTGGATTGGAATTGGAGCTGTAGGGAATCATCACAAGTATGACTCTCAGTAGCATGGAGAGCACGCAAACCGTAAATCCTTCTATCATGAAACTTCAGGTACAGTTCTTAATTGTATGTCGCATCGAGAACCTTTCTAGTTTTAACAGGGAAGAAGCTTTCATCTAGCATTTTGTGAGCTAAGCATGTATTTGAAACAGTTTAATGGAGAATGGGCGTAATGATACATCATTTCTAAATACAGATGCTTGAGTCCCTTTCACAATCATGGGAGATGAGATGGAGGCTGTCCCAATCTTCTGGTACTTGCTTCTCGCGTACAGTGGTGGCGGGGCCCCTTGTTCCGTCTGATATTCAGGTATAAGACACATGACATCGGTGTCTTCTATCCCTCTTACTCTTCTAGGACATTGAGCTTTTATTAAGTTGGATGATTCAGTGAAATTAACAGTAGGACCTGGCTAGATATCCAGAAGCCGGTAGACCCATGCACGTCAAAGCCCAGTGCTCAGAAGTGTATCGGCTTAAAATCACTAGATTTTGAGTGTATTTTGGCTCTGGCTTCAGTTTCGAATCTATGGGATTTTATATCATGCAGGACTTCCTGTTAAAGGATCGATTAATTTCAGGCACTCACTTATTGGTTCATTCAGGTGTCTGCGTTTGAGGATTTATGGCAAGAAAACATAAGGCAGATGCAATCTCATTATGATTTGCTGGAGCCATACATCACCTTCCGGAAAGTTTTGTTTCATGTGCTCAATCTTCATGACTATCTACCTAGGCACCTACTTGAGTTCTCAACTCTCGCTCGGAAGGTATGCGACTCCTGCTGCATCTCATGTGAAGATTCTCAACCTGGGCTCGAAAGTTTGAGCACTCATCTTAGTGTACAATCCACTTCTTCCATTAACACACATCTTTTCGCTTTAATCTCAATGAGATTTTACGTCTCCTTAAACCAACTGCCAAGTCAATGTTCTTTCCCTCCTTGGTAGGCTGGGAGACGCAACCAAGCTGCAGATGCAATCCACGAGCTCAAGTTGATCCTGAATGGAAGCAGCGGTCAATCTTTTCCAGGCATCGGCGATTGTGTTTATAAATCTCAAACTAATTTGGGACAACTTCTATTAGCTGCGAGGGTAAAATATTGTATTTGTTACAATTTTATTTCTTCCAGAAGGGACCCCATCTAATTTACAATGAAACCCACATGCTGGAAGAGAGTGCAACATACAATGAAGTTATTGAATTCATTCAGCACCTTGGAACTTTGTTGAGGTAAAACAATTTGTGGTCTTCATTCTCTCTGCCTGGTGATGGTTGTGACAGGTAGAAGAGGCGAAAATCTTGTGGGCACAGGATCAACGAGAAATGGCAGTGAGTCTTCTGAAGTATATTTTACAACACTCAGTCGTTGGATCTGGAGAATCTGCAGCTTTATACTGTCTCACAGGGAAATGGCTAGCAGAAACACGATCAGACAGGTACCCTGAGTTGTATCAAATGTTACGAATTTTTGTCAAGTCCAACATGCAGGCTCTTTTGAGATAATATATAGTGATTCCGGTCAGGACTTGACTTCAATCTTTGTCTGTGGAGTACAGCATCCGTATAATATTGGACCTTTACTTGGGTAAATCAGTCGAGGCAGTGGAAAGTGCTGTCAAGGGTGTTGACACAGCTTCACACAGTTACGTGAAGTGGGCGCTACGATTGTGCCGCACTCACTACAGGCTAGCTCATTACACAGATTGCTTGTATAAAAGCTATGAAGATCGCCTCATGTCAAGCGAATGGCAAGCAGCCTTACGTTTGCGGCAGCACAAGGTAGACAGATGTCGAATACTTCCATTCTGAAGGTGTATAGGTCTACAGCATCTTATTCACTGGTGAAAATGCTTGTTAGTTGAGTTGCGTGAATGCAAGCCGAGATATGAAGCCACTATTAACTTACATAAATGTTCTGTAAATTTGCAGTCTCGGGAGCTTGATGCTTTGAAGAAACGTGTCAACAACCAGAAGGTGAGATAACGTTCTAAAGTCAGTAATCAGCAACTCCATGGTTTTGGCATGTGTGATCTGAATTACTCGGCTCGGAATTCATAAAAATCAACTTTGTAAAATACTGAGCTTTGTGATCACCGGCCCTGATGATCCATGTATACTAATAATACGTTCAAGCAATGTGACAAATTTCAGATTGATAGTTATTTTCAAGTGTAATTAGAACTTATGTACCAGAATGAGTTTTGATTCTTTCAAGGATGTATACATTTTTTGATCCTTGCATTCCAAATAATGGCGCTGTAATGTTTTTCTTGTGTTCAAACCCAATGAATTCTATGACAGGGTGATGCAAGGGACTATACAATGAAGATGATCGAGCTTCATAAGCAGCTTACCCTCGACAACGAAGAAGACCAGCGCATGCAGGTGATTTCAGGGGCAATTTTTAGCCTTCATGCTTTTACTGCTTTCATGTCGGACTGAATAATTGATTTTGAGTAGTGATTAAGCAGCTTTGATTTCCTGTGAATCAATGTTTCGGCATCTTGATACCTTTGAGTGTATGCAGGGTGATAAAGATCAATTCTTAGGAATAGCACTAGAAAGTTATCGCAGCTGCCTTCTCACGGGCAATAAGTACGATCTACGAGTGGTACGTACAAGTGTTGATTTTTGTTTTTCTTAGAATTTTTCTGTGCAGCTTGTTGAACCTGTTAACTCAATGAAATGGACGAGATAAATAATGTGTTACATGATTTTAGTAATGTGTTATGTGTGCTGCAATACGCACTGAATCCTTCTCTTGGGCAGGATATTTTAAATAACTTTCATTTTATTACAGCTCTTCATTATATAATTTAAAATTATGAAATAGGAGAATGATCTCTAAAATAATTTCGATGATGGAACTGTCTGCCTCTTTATTATCTCAGGTATTCAGATTGCTTTCTCTCTGGTTTAATCTGTCCACAAATTCTCGGGTTGTGGACGCAATGCTGGAAACAGTGAAGAAGGTATACTTGCCAGTCCTTGTCAATGTGAATTGTTATACGGCTATTTTGGATTTTCTTAACATGACTTGTACTTTTCTTGTAGAAATATCAATTTAACTGGCGGCCACTTAATTTGACGTTGGGCGTTATTCGTAACCTGCGTCGGACTTAGAATCTTCAATACTATCTCTGACATGTCTTTTTTCGGGTTCCAGGTTCAGTCATACAAGTTTGTACCCTTAGTTTACCAAATAGCCTCTCGAATGGGAACCTCTAAGGATCAAACATCAGGATCTCATGGTTTTCAGGTTATTTGCTTATATCCCACGCTTACTGTCTGTTGTGTACAGGCCATGTTCCATGGCTCTCTATGCTCTCATTTGCTGAAGATACATAATGGTTTTAAATATTCACTCATATTATCTAAATTGCGAGGTTACGGTGTTATTGTTACATTGCTCAACCTCATACTAATTGTTTTCCAGTTGGGTATAATTTGCTAGCTCTTTGCATCATCCATTGTGGGGACCACAGATATTTAGTTACCTTGTGTCCTATCCCCGTAACATATCAGATTTGTGTATCGAATGCAAATAGTAAGATATCAATTAAACTCATCAGTCTATTTTATCATTTTGGCAGTACGCATTATCTGCTCTCGTGGAAAAGATGGCGATTGAACACCCATATCACACCTTGTACCAGGTATTTGGTTCCTATCTATCTCTAGGTGACCTCCATGTAACGTCATTCAACACTTACTGTTCATCGATTTTATATTTCTGAGCTCAGTAGGGAACGTTTTTAACATACTCTTAGCTTCTTTCACTTAGTAGCGTTTTCGATTCCAATAAACCCTAAACCTTGGCTTCAATGGAAAATATGGACAGGTTTTTGCTTTAGCGAATGGCGATCGTGTGAAGGAAAACCAACGTGGGAAGGTATCATTTGTTGTTGATATGGATAAGAAACACTCAGCTGAGCAGCTATTGAAGAAGTTAACTGCTCATCACAAAGATCTCCTTTTACAGGTTTCTGTTGACCCATTTTTTATGCTTTGTAATTCCTACTACGATCTAGAGACTTGTCGGGCTGGATCATAAGAAGTGAGATAAGCCTGTTATATATATATATATATATATATATATATATATATATGTGTGTATTTATTCATTTATTTGTTTTGTTTTGTTTTTTTTCGTGCAGATGAAGCGAATGGTAGAGATTTATATAAAGCTTGCTGAGCTTGAAACCAAAAAGGAGGTTGACGTCTGTCTCACACGCAATTCTGCCTTAAGCTTTGTGGGTGTTTATATTAGCTTGTTGGTTTAGAGTTGAAGTAGCACATGTTTTGCATAAGTCGAAATTTCTTTGGTGCTTATAAGTAAGACAGCTTTTTAAAATGTTTGTTAAATTGAGTTGGTTAAAGATCAAGGTATAACCCAAAATGCAGAAACCTTTAGGTCAGTAAAGATATCGAAACTTAATGCATTCAGTAGTTACTTGTGATCAAATACATTTGAATACTGGTCCCATCTCGACACTAAGGAGCGGTTCCGATTGTGTGTGAACACAGGATACGAACAAAAAGATTCCCTTACCAAGGGACATCCGTAACATTCGACAGCTTGAACTGGTACGCCCTGAATAGTATGTAATATTTTATTTATTCAGGAATCTTAGAATAACAGTTAATCGACGAAAGAGTAGTCATCTGCAATGAACTCGATTGGCCCTGGCACTGTTTTAGCTTTGAGTGCTTCCTCTCAAGAGTGCACGCTCACGTTTGGCAATACTGTTTCAGGTGCCAGTAATAACAGCACATATTCGAGTGGATCCCGGCTGCCAGTATCAGAAGGGATCTTTCCCATACTTCAAAGGCTTATTGGATACTGTGCAGTATGTGCTACATACGCCATCTTTACTTTCATGTTGTAATGTGGGCTTTAGAACACTTGTCCATGTATTATGCGCGGCACCAATAAACGCAATGCTTTATTGATTTGGCATAGGCTTGGGCCGTTCGTATAATCACTTACAAGTGTCAACGTTTTTATGACAAGCATACCGTCTCGTCTTTCGCAGGGTTATGAATGGAATCAACGCTCCTAAGGTTTTAGAATGCAGGGGCTCTGATGGTCATCGGTACAAGCAACTTGCCAAATCTGGTAATGATGACTTACGACAGGATGCGGTAAGGCTTGGAAAGTTTTTGTTTTCTCTTTGCAATTGGACCTGCCGTGCTTCTGGGGGAAAATAATTTAGCAATGGTTGAAAGCTAGAAAGTTAACCGTTGAGATGCACCGCTCTAGGTTATGGAGCAGCTTTTTGGACTTGTAAATACTTTGCTGCAAGACCACCCTGAAACTTGCAAACGCCATCTGTGCATTCGTACATACAAGGTACAGTCAATTTATTTTTTGGTTTTCTTGTCCTATGCCTTTCATGTACAGGATTTTGTATCCGAGTGCCGTATGTTAGATATGTGCTCATGTTCTCAGGTTTACCCAGGTTGTCCCATTCACACCAAGTGCTGGTGTGCTAGAGTGGGTCGACGGAACAGTGCCTTTGGGAGAATATTTGCTTGGCAGGTATGATCCTTGTGCATTTTAAAGCGATTCTATATGCGGGTTACATTGGGTGAACTTCTTCTGAATTCTCCGACCTTCAGATTACCTCCATTCTAATGCAAATATTCCTGAAACTGTGTAGTACTCGGTACGGAGGTGCTCATGCTAGGTATGGAGGCAATGACTGGACATTTATGGCATGTCGGGAACACATGTCAACTGTAAGCAACTGTTCAAGAAAAGTCACACGAAGTTCCCGTCATTTCTAGAGAATTTTGGGATTTTAGTTGTGAGATCCTTCCTGTTCGAGAGGAGAGTTCCATTTGTATCGATGTGTTTCCGAGGCACACTTCTTGAGTGTTGCACTAGGCATGTTTACAAAGACACGAGGTATTTTCAAAATATAGGATTCTTGCATAAGCATTGTAACGAAAGACGCTGTTTAGGACCATAGAGAGAAAGCACTCATGGAACTTTGTTTTAATGCCAAAAGTCTGGTCGATATTTACAGGAGAAAGACAAGCGACGTGCATACGAGACAGTTTGTAAGAACTTCAGGTGAAATCTCCTCTGCTGTCGTATATGGAATTGATTTAACTTGAGCATCAAGCTAAATATCTAGCTTTGTGAACCAAATCTGTAGTGAAAACATCTACTGAGCTAGATCTATCTCTTCATGTAGATGCCACATGTCAAGGTTACGAGACCTAAATAGCAGTTCCATCTGTTAGCCACTTATGTCATCATTGCCTGCTGTATTGCAGACCTGTGATGCACAACTTTTTCCTTGAGAGATTTACACAATCTGCAGAGTGGTTTGAGAAGCGGCTTGCTTATACCCGGAGCGTGGCTTCCAGTTCAATGGTATGTTCTGCTGAATCTAGTCTGCGAACAGAACTGTTTCTCGTTTAGGTCTCATTTTGGTCTTTGATTCCGTCGAAATTTCTGTTCCTGTCAAAAGTTTCTGCGTCAAAATTTTGTCTTAGTGCAATTTAGGCTGCGGCAGTCTCATTTGTCACTTCGCTTTTGATCAGTGATTTATGCAGTACTTGATGTTCCTCATCCGAAAATTGGTTGTTCGTCAGGTCGGTTATGTCGTTGGACTTGGAGATCGACATTCTATGAATATCTTATTGGACCAGGTAACTGCAGAAGTCGTTCATATAGATCTAGGTGTCGCATTCGAGCAAGGTCTAATGCTGAAAACACCTGAGCGGGTTAGTTCTTCATTCACTTTTTCGAATTCTTGAGTGTGATAATGCTGTTGGGACTATGCTCGTTGGCTGCGCTTTGAAATAATTACTTGACGTGTTCAAACTATGTGTCTTTCTGTGGGCGCATTAAATGCATCAGATGCTACCTTCAGTCATAATGCAAAACATTTCATTTTTTCTGTGTACAATCAGTGCGTCTCTGAATGAAACAGTTTCGTTTGTTGCTCTGACCATGTTAGGTGTTCTGTCAAATGTCAGGTACCATTCCGCCTCACTCGTGATATTATTGATGGTATGGGAGTGTCTGGTGTGGAAGGCATCTTTCGAAGATGCTGTGAAGCCACTCTATCTGTTATGCGCACAAACAAAGATGCATTGTTGACCATCATAGAGGTGAGGCTAAAAGAGATGAGCGTCGTTATAAATTACCATATTGGTTTCCACGACGAGTGACATCTTAAACGACCGTATACATCTTGGGTGCAAAGAATGGAGTAAAAGTTGGTGTAATTTTGTCCAAGAAGCAGAAATATTTTATTAGCACACTATTTTTAATTCATAGTTTATCCTGGTGGAATGCATAGTCACGATGAATAATTTGACTTGTAAAAAAAAATCAAATTTCTGGTGCACCTCTGTGACCTGACCATCTCCTTGTGCTTCAGATCTCTATTACAGCAGGAACAGGGTGTATACGACTTAGGTGTGTATCTTGGCTTGGTGTGCAGGTGTTCATTTACGATCCTTTGTACAAGTGGGCATTGTCACCTCTGAAAGTCTTGCAGCGACAGCGGGTGATTCGCTTTACCTCATGCTCAAACTTCGGGTATGAGCATGTGATGCACACCGTAGAGCTATTTACAAAATTACTATCTCTAAGCTTTCTATTTTCATTGCAGGAGGTATCTGCTGACATGGACAACTCGGAGGAATTCAGTCAGCCTGACATGCAAGACGAAGGTAACAAAGATGCTGCACGAGCCCTATTGCGAGTTAAGCAGAAACTAGATGGATATGAAGGAGGTGAAATGAGAAGCCTTCAAGGCCAGGTAGAGAATTTGTGCAAAACATTCCTTACAGCTTATACGAAGTCCCTACTTCTGCACAGAAACTAGAAGAATTAATAGTTAACCTGTTTGCTCAACTGTTAGAACTGTTGCATATGGTTTTCTATTGTCTAGAAATTTTTCATGTGATCATATCTATTCTGGGTTGCATTGTTGATTCAAAATAAGGTTTAATGAACATGAATAGTGACGAGGCAACGCACTCCTACATTATGTTTCAGGTGCACCAGCTAGTCCAAGATGCTCAGGACCCAGAGCGCTTGAGTCACATGTTTCCTGGATGGGGTGCCTGGCTCTGAAGTTGCGAACTGGACATGAATACCAATTCCACAAGGTCACGGCATAGATATTATCCAGTACGATGACCTCACCATCGCACTGATGAGCTTTTTTACATGGGCAATTTCAGTAGTGTCGCTGTTCATGGGCTGCAAGCGGAGGGAACTCTAAACACGTACTAGATGGCCTCTTACTATCGGAATGCTCAGTGCACGTAAATAAGTGACACTCAACACGTTTTGTAAAGATTCACGCTTGTACAGAATATTGACTCAATCTCAAGCTCAATGTTGTCAGGCCTGAGTAATACCGCATTGGTTTCCCAATTTTGCACACCTGCGGGTGGGATAGTTTGTAAAATTGTCATTCCACATGTGTGTAAAGTGCTCCCTCAACTAATTAGCAATTTGTCTGATTAAGTGGCTTGAGTACTTTAAGTTGACTACTTACAAGTCCATAACCAATTGGAGCAATTAAATTACTTAAGACATGTGAGGTGTAAAGTATGGATGTGCACAAGCAATTTCCTAACCTAATCATTCATCACTTTCAAGGAAAATTTAAATAGTGGAATTTAGTAACTAGCAGATGAAGGTTAAGGTCTGGAACTGTGATTACATTCCTGGCATTGTGTACAAAGGACAGGACACAAACTATACGGCAATCACAAGATTGCAGTTGAAGAAGACCTCAGCCGATAATACATTACAGACTAGACTTGGGTATCGGAATTTGAATGGCCGTGCGGCTGGTCACAAACTTCTTGTTGTGTGTGACAGCTGCCACATGAAGGTCGTGCTTCTGATACGTATGGAAATTCTGTTCATCTGGAAAATCTATCACGAGCCCCACATCCGCATTGCCGCCGCTGATCCCTGCAATTCAGAGATGAAAGCTACTTACTAATGTTCATAAGTTATATTGAAATACATACATAGAAAGAAGATTCTGTTTAAGTTGCGTGGAATTTAGGGTAGATAGTGGCAAACCGAGGTCAGAATTGATGTCGAAATTAAGCCATGAGACGTGCTTAACGATCTCTTTGCTCATCTTGCTTAACGTCTCCACCACCTCAGGCACATCCTCCTTCTTCTCTACTTTGAGTAAGACGATGTGTCGTAACGGACCCTTGTTCTCCCCTGCCATTGCCGCTAATCGAACGTGTGTAGAGTACTGTAGGAGTTGCCTTCCTAGTAAACGACAAAAAGAAATTCGCCCTCCATAAACACAGGATTCATAAATCCAGATATATAACGCAAAGATGCTCCGCAAAACAGATGCAACCGAGAGTAGGAATACAGAAACAGAGAGATCGTAAAAAGTAAAATAGTAAAAAAGCAACATGCGATTGCGTTCTCAGAGGATAGAAAAATACTGGCTGCTGGAGCTAATCCAGAAGAACTACAACGGTCAGAAAATTAGATAAATAGGAAAAGATTGAGAATTCTCGAATCATCCACACGGTGCGAGAGAAAATCAGACCCTCTAGTATAAGGTTCACACAAGGCTAATGTCTTCTCACAAAATTATCTGGAATATTCCGTGGTCATGAAACAACCTAGACCCTGCACACAGAAATCCATTCATGTAGCAAAACCCTGGAACAGATTCATGCTCGACAACCAAAGACACATCCCACAGGTAATGAGGAGAAGTTACACCCAAACTCACATTCCGAGACTCCAGTCACGCACACCCAAAACTACCAAACACAGTTAAACACAGTTGCGGGAGTCTCATCTACCTGCCAGAAACCAAATTCACGGAAGCAGGATCACAGAGTAAGGTGCGAATGTGGAGGGGAACCCCGAGATTGATCGATTCACCCCCTCCCCCACAGGTGGAGTTAGGAACGGGCGAGGGGCACGGAAGGATCCTCGGTCGCACTTGGTGGTGCTGCCTCCGACGCCGAATGCTCCTGCTCGCCATGGATGGATGGATGGGTGGATGGATGGGTGGATGGATGGATGGCAAAGCCCAGCCATTGGACTTGGGACTCAGGGTTGACAGTATCGAAGAAGATACTGGTGGCTTTGTTCCATTTGCTCCTTGCCTTTGCCCATACTTTCGTTTGCAATGCCGTGAGTGCTTCGCCTTACTCAAGGTGCTGGACGTTAGCCTCCTCAACTAAATCCACATTATTATCCTCCTTACTACCTTTTGAAACCTTCACAACATAGTTCATCAACCCATACAAGTGTTGAAACTAGCTCATGACCTTGCACATGAAACTAGTGCATTCAAAACAGAAAGCTTCCTAGCAAAACCTTTACATTACCAATTGTTGCCTAGTTGTCTTATTTATTTATTTATTTTTATAGAAACCGCTAAGTAGACATCCCCTTTTATTGTGTGGATATTCTCCTTTTACTTTGTCGACACCCTCCATGCAATACCAACAATACACCATTGTTATGAGTTTTATAACAAGCTAGAAAGGATTTTTAACAAGCAAAAAGGTTAAAAAAAAACAAAAACAAAAACAAAAACAACAATAATATTAATAATAAAAATAATCCATAACACACAAACATCAGCCACGCATAAACTTAAAAAAGTAATTAAATAAAGGGGTATCTATTTAGCAATAAAAGGTGGGATATTTGCTAGATGGACACCCTCTTTTATATACATTTACTTTTATTTAGTTCATGTGCTGCTCAATTATATGGATGAATATCATCCACAAAATATCATCTATGAGGACAAGTCTAAGAAGACATTATGTTTCTTGCTTACTACCCAATTAATGACCTCCAAATTTGTGGGGGACCAAGCGGGTAATAAACAAGGAGCAAAACCTATTTTGATATAAATTATTAGATTCTAAAAATGAAATAAGTGTCAAAAAGACTTGTGTGCTTAGCAAGAAAGAGCCAAAATAAACTCACATGATGTCAAGATTGGCATGATTTATTTTCTTTTGTTAATTTTATTTTATAAATAACATTGTTTTTAGATAATACCTTATATTTCCACGTTACAAACATGACAGAAATGGCTAACAAAAATCTCACTACTGCAGGAGGTGAATTGCATAGAATCAAAAGAAAAAGTGATGTTGAATTACAAACTAATCATGGTGAAGTAAAAGTAACAGATGTTTTGTATTCTCTGTCTATCACGAGAAATCTATTGTCAATAGGTTGTCTTGTAGATGATGAAAGAGCCATCCTTTTCACAAGAATCCATGTACACATTCTAGACAGTGTAAAAAAATTGAAAATAGTTGGAGTTGGGTACAAAGATTTTTAAAATGGGTTTTATAAATTTGGCAATACAATCTTCAAATAGACTAGAGTCGATTTTTTTTAAAAACCAATATTGAAACAAAGAAATGACATTGTTTTTTTGGACATCTGAACTATGCTAGATTTTATCATCTTTTGAAGACAAATTAGGTGAAAGAATCACCCACAATTCAGATTTCAAAAAAAATTGCAAAGCTTGTCTACTGGGACAACAACACAAAGAAAAAATTCTAAAAGCAACTTTAATTGGAACAACAAAGGTAAATCAACTTATTCATGCTGATTTAATGAAATCCATGAGAATAGCATTATTAAATGGGTCGAGGTTTATTGTTGTATATAATGATGATAGAAGTTATAAAAGTTGGGTATATTTTCTCAAAACAAAGGGTAAAACTCTTCAAAAATTTAACCAATTTTAGGCAATGATAGAGGCTGAAACCAACAACAAAATAGAGATATTAAGGATTGATAGAAAAGGAGAACTCTTATCTATGTATTCACAAATTATTACAAAGCAAATAGAATTAAAAGACAATTGATGCAAGCTAAAATTCATGCTCAAAATGTTAAATCGGAAAGAAGAAACAGAGCAATTATTGAAAAGACAAACATATGAAGAAAAATTATCTATATATCCCTTGGTAAAAAATGGTAAATACATCAAATTATCTTCTAAACAAGTGACCTACAAGGACTAACAAGGGACAAACACTAGAAGAAAGATGGACAAAAAAAAAAAAAAAAAAAAAAAAAACCCAAAAGTTCATCATTTTAGAATTATAGGAAGCTTGAATCATGATAAAGGTGATCAAACTATTGTACAAAAAAAATAATAACAATGTCAATTGAGTAACTGAGCAAGGAAAGCAGAAGTCTGCTTCAAAAGAAAATAATAATAATAATAATAATATCAAAGTTGAGGTACAAAGCAAACATTCCGAATCTCCACAAGAAGAAATATTTAACAAGGAAGTACAAGATGATACATCATTGACTACAAAAAGTACCATTCTAAATGATACTTTTCAGAGAAAAAGGAAATCTAAACATGGCTTTGCTGAAAACAAGTTAACAAAAATCAAAAAGAATTAAGAAACCGAATATAAGATTACAAGATTACGTCTAGACAGTAGAAAAGCATGAAGTATGAAAATCAAAAAATAAACAAATAAAATTATGAAGCAATTCGACAAAAAATATTGATAGAAACAGTATATGGAATTTAATCAATCAATAAGATGGAATCAAGCATTTTGATTTGAAATGGGTATTTAAAGCTAAAACAAACAATATTGAAAATGTTAAAAAAATACAAAGGAAGAGTAGTGGCAAGAGGAGGTTTTTAAAATTAAAAAATTTATAATTTTGAGACATAGTCTCATGAGGTAAAATTGGCAACTATAAGATGTGTTTTAGCACTTACTGATAGAAGAAAATGGAAAATTAGATATTTTGATGTAAAAGTTGCATTTTTGAATGGCATTTTTAAAGAAGAAATATTTATGAAAGTTCTTGATGGTTGGGAAAATGAGAGCACAAAAAGAAAAGTTTGCAGAATGAAGAAGGTTCTATATGGACTTAAACAAGCTTCAAGAGCTTGATATTTAAGAATAAACACTTATTTGAAAGAAAAAAATCTGAATAAGAGCAATGAAGATTACAATTTATATTATTCCATTTAAAACAAAAAAAAATATACTATACTGCTTTTATATGTTGATGACTTACCATTGACAAGAGATGATTATAAAAATATATTGACGAAATTAAAAAATATTTACAAAATAAATATGAAATGATTGATTTTCACAATATACACACTTATTTAGGAGTAAAGTTTGTATTTACTAAACAAGGAATCTAGGTGCATCAAATACAACATATTAAAAAATTATTAGAGAAGTTTGGAATGGAAAATTTATACTCTGTGTCTGTACTATTTAACACATGAACAAAAATTGAAAAAGACATGAAATCCCCACTATGCAGTGCTACTTACTACCAATCATTGAAGAAAAAGAGCCAACAAAACTTTTCAGTGATAACATGAATTGCATAAAGCTAACAAACAATCGAGTAATGCACTTTAAAAAAATTACATATTGAATCACGGCAACATTATATAAGAAAAAATATACACAATTAATGCATCAAAATTAAGTTTATTCCAAGTAACTATTAATAGATTGATTTATTGGCAAAATTGCTTAATGGGTTTTATCATCAACAAAATAAAAAAACCAAAAACTATAGAAGAATCAAAATTATGATGTGCTTTGACAAAGGTTTTGAAACTTTGAATTTAGCTCAAGGGAAATGGACTATTTTGGCTCAACATTCCATCCAAAATTTGTGCACACTTGGCTGCCAACCTAATCTTACAACATAAAACTTGCCTAAGGTCGACATATTACAAGCAGAACTGCAAACCACAACTTCTTGAGGTTTACCAAATGTCAACAACAAAACTTGATAAAGAAAATCTGCCATGAAATGAAACAATCTTAATGCCAACATAAAATTCAACCAAAACATAAGAAAACAAAGCTATACCTACAAAACAACACAAAGGATTTATTAAAATTACACAAAAGAAACAAGAAATATACAAATAGAAGCTAGAAAACTTACCAAGGACAATGATTGAAGATGAGTCATAGTTAATATAAATTATAGTTAATATAAATTGAAGCTGAATCATATCAATATAAATTATGTGAGAAGAAACAAGCCACATTTTAAAAGAAGAAAAACTAGGGTTGAGGGAGAGTGTTGGGTGTTATAGAAGCAATCCTAGTTTAGTTAAGTCAACTATGAATTACTACATTGACTCAATTATAAAAAAAAATTGTTTGCTGTAGCATAGAAAGAGATGATAAGCATGAGATAAGTATATGATAAAATTAGAGTTTACTGCATGCGTGAAAATGATAATCATGTATAAACATAGCTCAACAAGAATGTAATGATACGATCTTCAATAGAAAACCTAGTGCAGCACATAAAGCCCCGATTTCTTTAGCCAGAAGTGATAGGAGTAGGGAGCTTTGTTGGATGCTGGATAAGCAACATCGCTTCAATTGTTCAAGTGAAGCAGTAAAAACTATTCACCACACGCAGTGATGCTCTTACTGGCCCAGCTTCTCACTTTAGAGAACGGCCGAATGGTCTAATATGCGGCTGATATCCTTTCACTAGTATGATGAGAACAAATGCTGATGGTTGATCGCTGTAATCTACACAGCCCTCTATCTGGGCTCTACAATGAAAGACATGAATCCACTACCTCGACAATGTTAACTGTCCACTGAGAAAGTAAAAATGAATGATTCTATATAAAGCTGTTGGAATTAAAGCAAGCCCTGTCACCTATGCATTCTGACCGCAGATCCAACTATCCTGGGAAAAATATCTCAGAAATTTACAAGCCCCTCTCCGAATCCACGACTTGGCTCAACTGGAAAACGAATCCTAATTCTCTAGTATCAGGGATATGCCCTCGCAGCAACTTCTAGATGGATTGCAAATCCGGGAAATACTCTCAAGACATGCGCTAATAAATCCTGGTTCCCATTTTCAACCTGTCGAAGATGAAGGATCGATGTCAAGCCAAGGCGAAGGTGAAGAGACAGTGACGATGCAGTTCAGGTTTCGTCAACGGCAACTAAGAGGCTGGATTAACAAACCCCAATTCTCATAGGTCCTATCCTGCTAAACGTTTAGCATCCTGGGGTTTTGATCTGACGTTCGACGGCCTTTTTCAATGAACCAGGTCCATAGATGGACAATGTACCGAACTTTATTGTGCCACTCGGATCGAAGGTACGATGGTTTATGCACGATGTGATCACCTCCGAAAAAGGATTCCTCTAGGAGATATGAAGAATATATATATATATATTCCAGTTGACATGCACATCAAGCATGTTAACCACGTCGCCCTTGTTAACTTCGTTATCATTCTATCCTTGAATCAGCTCCAAGGGAACGACAACACCCAAGTTCCAGTGTTCAACTTAACAATAAAAGCAGCATTGAAATTCATCACTCTTTCTGCCCGTATACAGTAAACATTCAATAGAACTGTGTCAGAGGGATAGATCCGCGTAGGGTAGTATAAAGGGTCAAGGTGAGATCCCTTCCACCCTGCAGTTCAACACTTGTTGGTTGGGAGCCTCACTGCCGTCTAAGCCTTCGTCACCTTAGATTGGATGAATCGTACTGAGGCTTTTGTTTTTCCTGCACCAGATCTGGCTTTGGCAGGAAGTCTGATTGTTCCGTAGTTCCACTTCCTTGACGCAAGAGTGAAGCCTGAATCGGAGAACAATGTCTCTTGACGCTTGTTTGGACTTCAGCGGACGCATCATCTTCGTGTTTATGCCACGCATGACGAGCTTGCTCTAGCGAGCTCCGAAATTCTGAATGTGCTAGAGTGAGAGGCACATTGGCCGCTCCATCCGCTTGGTCCGAGCATCCTTGCATGTAGTCCCGGTTTGAATTCTCGCGTTTTCGCTTTTCTAGAAGCATGGGACTTGACCGGCTGGAGTTGGAATCCAATGCAGATGCCACGCTCTCGGTGCTAGACCTTGCTTTGGGATCCTCTCCTTCCGTCATTGCTGTGCTTTTGAGTGGCGAGGAACCCCGGTGACCACTGGAGCTGCTCGTACTGGCCTGTAAGCTGAGTCGCACGGGAGCTCCTCCATTCTCAGGGGACGACTGCTCTACAGGGTGCTTGCATTGCAAAGATTTGAAAGCATTACCCAGTCGAAATGAAAGGAATTCTCCAGAAGTTAGCGCTGATAAAGAAGCTGAGGGAGGAATATTGCCACCATCATGTATTGTTTTAAGATTTCCTTGTGAAGATTCATGCCCTTCTGACAATTTTGATTGTAAAGCAGAGGAAGTAAAACTGGGAATTGACTGAAGAGGGGAGACTTTGCACGCTAGTGGAGCCGCCCGCTCCAAGTCAACCCCAAATAGTCTTGTTCCGCTACTTGTGCTTGGAGCTTCTTCGCTTTGTGATGATGTGCTGCTGCTGGAGGCAACAAGAGATCGGTCATGAATATTGGAACCTCCATCCATATCTGCCGATTGCCGTAGTGGCCTATCAATGTGAAGAATGAAATCTTCTGTAGCCGCATGACATTTTAAAGGCGAATGTTGTAAGTCCAAGTTGAGACAGCTGCCAGCCATGCTTGGTATCGCCGAATCCTGTACACTCCCTAAATCACCAGATGCCGCAGATGTTCCTCGTGCTGATTGCATCATTTGGTTGTAAATGCTGCCATACATGCTGCTTGGCTGGATGCCGGAGGAAGTGACTGTAACATGGGGAACGGAAAAGCTGAACGGCTGCCACATCCTAGAGTTAAGTGGGCTGACAGGACCATTAGATGGTGCATAAGCGTTGTTGCATGGTCCAGACCATGCACTTCGAAATGAGGATCTATCAGATGTGGAAGTGCCCCCTGCAGTAATCTGTTTCCGACGAAAGTCAATGTAGAGTTCATGGTTGCGACCTCGCTCAAAGGACACAATATCACCAGCGTCTAGTTTTTTTTCCTTAACAAATCTTGACCAGCCTTTGGTGAGCACATAACTTTGACTACTATTCCAGTATGAGTAACGAAATCGCCAATGCTTTCCTGAAACATCTTCAAATGAAAGCGTCTGTCCAGGTGAATTAGCAGATAGATCGAGAGGGAAGCACCGCTCGGCATGCTGTTTAGGGATGACTAGCCTATTCAGCTTACCAACGTCACTAGGAGTCACTGCCTTGTCAAACAAATGCTCTCTTGTGGGCGAGCTTTCTCTTGGCTCGTCTCTAGGCAAGTTGGGTGGAGCTAAAGTTGTTGACGTGTCTGCAGAAAATGTGTTTTGGAGCAGGCTAAAAGATCCAACAGATAGTCTAGTCCCTGGGTTAGATGACCTGCACATTTCGAGAACTCGACGTCGTGCACTGACAGGATTTGCAGCGGCATCCATGTTGAAGACCTTCTTGCACTGATCAAGCTCCTCGTCATACGTATGACGTCTCAACATTTCTACAATTTGTTCTTTGCTGAAGGAGCGCAAGAACTCGGATTCATATTCCGAGTCTGTGACTGGCCGAAAGTTAGTCATTGCATCACGACCACGAAACTTGATGGCGGCGGTGTCATACGCGCGTGCAGCTTCCTCTTCTGTGTTGAATGTTCCTAACCAAATACGTTGATGTTTCTCGTATATCTGGGCACCCCATCGTCCATTTGATTGTGGTACTACACCACGGAATTGAGAAGAGGGCAATTTGCTGTTACTTTGCTCCCGGCCACGATCGTCACCATACTCTGAGTCACCAGAACCTGAAAAGCTGGGTCCGCTGTGTGTTCGTTCCAGACTACCCCTTTGTTCTGTATCCAATGAACCCGAACCTAAAAAGGCGCTCGGGCCACTCTGTGTTCTTTCCAACTCTCCCGACCCACACCTTTGTCCGACGTTCCGAGATCCCAATGGCCATTGCTTCAAGTTCGCTCCACGAGAAAATTCTGCCTCCAGCCTTGAACCTGTAACATTGGCAAAGGCTGGATTCAGTTGAAGGGATGTGTCCAAATGCGCGAGGACCAGGTCGGGCATAATGCAAAATAGTTGATCAAATCGACACTTCAAATAAAATTATGATCTAAAAACCACATATCATGATCCATTCTCCTCTCTCAACTAAGTAACAGGATTTACTGCAGACCAGTCGGGCCGGTCAGCTTACCTAAAAGATCCAAGGGGTGGCTCCTCTCCCCGAAACTTTCCAAGTTGGAAGCGACATATGCTCGGTGCTCTTCAGCATCAGCCCTAAAACAATTTTCACTATCCTTGCCGGATGTACGCAGCATTGAGGAGTCATGCAAGCGGCTTCTGTCATGATCAATGTGGCGCTGAAACCTTGGGATTCCGTGAACCTGGAGTGTGTTGGCAGCTGCTGCTTCTGCAACACCTAACATAGCAGTTTTCTCCTCAATGGTATAGAACTTCGGAATGGGAGAAGCAGGATTGGTTTCTCGAATTACCACAGAAGTGGATGCTTCCTCTCGCCCTTGGCTTGGGCATTCAACAATTTTGAAACTGGAGACATCACTGTCTGAAGAAGAGGCTACTAAAGTGTCGAAATTGTTCAATCGCAACGTAACATCAGGCCCATGATGTGGCTCGCTGGACGAGCGAGACGCGGGTTTGGACCACATGCCGACCGCCTTCTCATCCTGAAAGCAGATTGAGCATTTAAATTGTGAATGTCTCGCACCATTAGCAAATACATTGTTATGTGTATGCTGCAGTACTAAGCCCACCCCCACATTGCAGCACTATTTCCTTTCGAACTCTAGGTATCATTCCACTGCTAAATGCAAACGCAACTTCGCATAAGCCAGATCAGTTCTGGCGCCTTCACTGAAGTCGACAGATCACGTGCTTATTCCGCGGTACTATTCCGACGATTGCGCTGTTGAATATGCCTCCAAAATAAGAAATAAATCAAAACAGTAGCTTAATGGAGATTGTGGTCCAACCTTTGCATTCAGACACATCCCTCGGCGTTAGTTTACCACATGATAATCTCTGGATTCAATGGGATGCTCCTCGAGTAATCTTTTGACTGTTAGGTACTTCGCAACCAGCTGCTCTTTACTTTTAAAGTCGGGCTAGACCAGAACCGTGTGCAGCCCAAGTAATCGACTGCACGTTTACAAATAGGAGCGCAGATGAGTTCAAGCCATGTCTTAATGTTAAATCACGCATCGAAGTTCAGTTTAACAATAAGATATTTCCAATATATGACAATATACAGTAATTTTAGAAAATATCGTAATTTTAGCTGTTCTAGTCATGAGGTAAAGATTTGGTTTATCTTGCAGCTTTTGAATCCTAACACATCCCCTTTTCTTAATCTCTTGAAATTAGATAGGCTTAAGTAATAATACGCTGAACGTTTACCACTACTTAAGCGTCTCCTAACGAAATACACTTCGACCACTAACTGCAATTGCAGCTCGACAGCATGCTATAAATAAATATGAACTTAATTGGCTGAAGAACCGGTTGGCAGCTGTAAGGGACCGGAAGTTCTTCTATACATTCTAATTCCGAAATGCACAGTTCAGTTTCGATTTTAACACTTTACCTTTCTTGGCTGCCATTCCATCTGCATCTAAAAATCACTTCCCAACTTGTAATGCGGTTTGCCTAAGTTCTTAATTTGGGCAATTTCCTACAAACCTCAACAAAATTGGACCAGATTTAAGCTTCTACACGTAGACCTGTATCATTAGGTGTTCAAGACTCTTACAGCACATCACGTTCTTCGAAACGGAGAAGATACGAGGTACACAGATGTACATGCCGGCTTGGAGGCTCTACCGTCAACGTCTCAGAAACAACATAGTAGGCAGAACAGCAAGTACAAGCGGTGCCAGTTTCTGTTTCCAGCCTCCATGTCATGAAGTTGGGAAACGTTTCGAGTGATCAAATCGTCACATCCCCCCGCTGTGCAAAGAATGAAGGTATGGAGTTGCAATATCTGACGTTCGTGAGAATAAACAGACTCCTATAGTTCCTCCTCCAAATTTCTTGAGGAAATTGCAATAGAACCTCAAGAACCATATTTGCATCGCCAAGCTAAAAGCAACAACCCGCCATGAAGAATGCCGAAAAAACTGTCTGGCTAGTTCCGATACAATTGTCTAGCTGTCTAGCTAGTTACGGAGTTCAGCGACGTTTGATACAATTCAATGTTTTCGAGAGGCTACGAATTCTGTGGTTGTGGACAGTGTCGAAGTCAACAGAAGTCTAACTAGAGTAAGACGTGTAGAATCAATCTCCTGGAATGTCAATAGCCAGAACTTGGAATCTTTTTACTTATTCTATCGACAATCGTGCTGGAACGACTGGGGATGGAGTTTTCAACACAAAAGATGATGTTCCAGAGAGCAGATGTTTAACGAGGCCTGCAATTAACGGATACCGCTTCAATGCTGGAACTTGTAGACGTCGGAGTTCGGTTACTCCTCAACGCGCAACAAAGCAGATTCATCACTACTTCAGTGACCTTGAGCGAGCTCCTGCTGTTTGAACTAACCCTCTAGACCCCGGTGTGATAACTACGTCGCAGCGAAACGTCAACCACCTCAGAGGGTATACTCTGATCAACCACAAACTCGATGGAAACTTCACAGCAATCCTTATTCTGGCAACAATCCAAAGCAAGCAAAAACTGAGGGCACAGACACCATGTACTCTTCTTCAGTCCACGGAATTGATATTACCTGTCGCTCCTTGCACTCCGCCGCTTACAGCACTCGGTCCCACAGCGCTGCAATCCTCCCGTCCTTAACCACCTAATTCTGCACCTCTCTTTCGCTCTCTCGCGCAAACACACGCGCACATCCTCATACTGACACCACTACCTTGCAAGTGTACATCTACCACCTGATATTCCTCCTCTCGTCGCACAACTCTGCCTAAAGATCTGCTGGTACCCTCCTCAAACCCACCTCTTCAATGCACTACACCACACATCACACAAAGCTGCTTAGATTCTAGCCGCTCTGCACAAAGATCTTCCTCATCTACAACTCTCCAGGTGTGAGCTCAAAAACCAACTCCGATGCCCAACCACTTTCGACAACTGATGTGCAGCAGACAAGCAAAGCGTCAATCCATTGGCATCCAGCAGGGAGCGCAGGAGTACGATGCAGAGAGCACGTGACTAGTTACTTGCGAAGGAGGTAGTAAACCACCAAAATGGCGTCAGTCAGTATAATGAAGGCCAGGTAGCGGGAGCGAGAAGGCAAAAGGGCAGAAGAAACTGTACACTACCCAATTTTCTTCAAAGACAGAAACCGCCAAAATAAAATTCCCCAGGGCAATCGGGAACGTCCGTCAAGCCCCAACCAAAGGCCAAGATATTCTACCGACAGGGTTTCTTTCGCACTGTCAGTGCCGCAGAGGGCGGGCGAGAACCATGCTGCGAGGGAAAACGTTTTTTGATGGCTGGGAACGGGAGAAACCTTGGAGAGGCTCCTATTTCTGGCTTCCGCGCACTCAGTCACTGTCTGGCTCGAGCGCCGTGACGGTGGAATGACGGAAGGCTTTGGGGCGTTGTGCATCACCTGTAACAGAAGTGGTAATCCACGCTCCCCTGCTAAAACTGGCTGCATCAATTTTGGGTCCTGCCACAGTTGCGGCTGATTGCGATGATGCTGCCCCCATTGGAGAAAGAGGTGAAGAAGAATCGTCGCAGTGAGGTCAGGAAAGAAGAAGAAGACGAAGACAAAGATGAAGGTGAAGAAGAGGAGCAGGTAACTCCCACCTAGACAACCATATCTGGAGAGAATTGTCCGGTGGTAACATTCTTGTCCGCCTCACGCCTTCCTCCCTGCATTGCATAAGCATCGCAATATACCCACACTTTCAGAAAATTAAGAATCACAATTAAACCTAGATGTTTGATTCTTATGAAGTTGAAGGTTGTCCATTGGAGCTTTACACTATTGTAGCCAAGCAGTCACCAACACAAGGAATTTGAAATTGGATAAGAAAATGACATGGAATCCCAACTAGCAACAATAACACCTTGTAACTGATTGTTTTGGAAAAGGTGTGATGAAACCTTTGACGTGGTATGAGCCTCCATCCTATCATGCAATAAAAGATATGTCAAGGTTTTTATTTTGTATCATTTTGAATATTTGTAATGTATTTCCCACATATATGTTTCTTGGATAAATGCTTCCTATTACTGCATAAAGCAATAAAGTAGGGTCACCAGGCCCTTTTTCTCGCCAGAAAGATTACTGAATCAATTGCAAGGAAGCAAACTTTTTAATAAAATCCCAAAATTTATTCTCCTCCCTTATCTCTTTGACATTATAGGAGCATCTCAGGGGCGAGTGATTTCAGATACAGATTTCTTTCGGAAAGGGTGCAAAGCATCAATTCAAATTGAAAACCCATAGGGAACAATCTGTGCTCAATTTTAGGAGATGTTCATACTTTACTGTGGTCAATAAAATTAAAATTAAAAGATCGACGCCATAATTTATTTTAAACAGAATCACAGCCAGATATTTCTCACCTTTTCCCCCTCAAACACTGCTGGATGCAAGACAACGACCATTTTCCTTGTAAATTTTCGGGGAGAAAGGTGCAGTGTCGCACATCACCAGAGGGCTCCAAATTTAGGATGTGACTCAGAAGCACGTCACCTAAGTCAAAGGAGCTGGACAAGTGGAGGTATTTGCATCAGTGGGGTTCTTAATTCGGCAAATCGGTAGTCAATTATCCAGGGGTGGGATTGTTGAAGAGGACCTGTGCGCACAATTGTTGAATTCCTCCTGTGTACAATTAGGTACCGCGCATGCTATTTTCCTACCCTTTTTTCCCCACGTGGCGATAGGTGAGCAGAATTCGCTATTTCGTTAACAATATCGGTTAGATTCGGGAGGAGACTGAGGAACGGAAGGTGCCCCTTTCATGTTTTCTTCTTTTTCTTATTTTCTGATCTATTGTTTTAAGAAAGGGAGAAGGTGGGGGGACTAGGGTTTCGATTGAATAAGGCGCGGCACGGTGCTGTTCACAATTCCACCACTGTACCTCGCAAGCCCTCCCCCTGCCGCAGAAATCCGATGCGGCTAAATATCGCCAGACAGCCATGTTGAATCGGTACAGAGCTCCAATGCGATGTTAATTCGTGCTAGGCATGTGTGGATGCAAGTTGGGAGGACCCCAGAGGAGGGGTGGGGAGGAATAATTAGATTATTGTAAAAGTTGGGGCCGTGTTGAGCCCCGAAGCTACCAACCAATTCAATCAGCCACTGCGGTCAGCCCACGAGGCCCTGAATGTCAACCAGAGCCCATTCATCCACCCACTTCGGTCATTGCCGATACTGCTCACATGCAGGGTTCTGTGCCGAGCTTACGCCTTTGCTCTGATCGTTGGATGGATCGCTCCTTGATTGCCGAATGTCAAGTGAGGAATTAGTTATATAAATAGGCCACCATGAAGCATATCAGTAGGGAAAGTTACTGTACCCCCCTCCCTGCTGTTGTAAGTGCCTGAACTGATGCGGGGCTAGACCCAGCCCCTCTTGCTGGAAGAAAAGACACAACGTGTGAGTGACAGCCTACAGCGAGCATGGGAATGGGTGAGGTTTGCACGTCTGTTTGTCAGCCAGGTGGTGGCGAGGAAAAACAAGAGAATGAGGAGCCAGCGATATGTAAACTAATTACGATTAATCGGTAAAATTTAATAGGCATTATATATTTGAAATTAATAAATAAAATATAAAGTGAAATTGTCTGCAGGCGCGTCCGGAACAGTAGAGATATTCCCGATTCCTGATGGCAACATACGTTTGCATAAGAACTAATTGCACTAATTGATCCCTGCTTTCAGGGAAAGAGTTTATCATTTGGATTTGACTATTTTAATGATTGGGTTTAACTCCAGACATTTTCTTCATCTTTTCATGCATGAGATTTGTGTGCGAAACAGTTATTATTATTTACTTTTTGTAACCCAGAGAGTATGCTCAAATCGTTTTGGTTTTTATTTGAATCCCACTTCGAGCTTAACATGCCAGGGAGCACCAATCCAACTTGATTCACGTTATGCAAAAGAGCACCACGCACGCATTTAAAGAGTTCCAATTGATTTGAGTATTTTTTAAAAAAGAAAATTAATAAATAAAGAAATGAATCCATGGGCATTCTGTACATGAATTTAAACTTCATAGACAATGAAGCTAATCGAGTGGAATAGTTCAAAATGCTTTACATTCGGCGAAATTTTACATGTTTTCAATGGGGGGAACTCGTATATATTCATACTCAAATTGTCAAGGACTTTTTACAATGAACAAAGTGTAGATTTTGTCAAAGGATGATGCTTGGACTGAATTTGTAAACTGTCTTTTTAAGGTGTCCTGGTACCAACCAGTGAGTTGTCCACACATGACACACCGAGTGTCGATCGATCATTCAAATAAAATTCAAAACGTGCCCCCATAATCCGGCGCCATGTCTGTGAATTACTAATTCCTTCCGAAATTACAGGTTGTAAGTGTAGTACATCGCCGAAATACCGTGGCAAAGTTTCCAGCATTCCTGTTTACAAACCATCATTATTGTTATAGATTATTAGTATAAGTATTATTTGTTCAGATCGGCGCTGTGGTGTGCTCTTGCCAAAAGTTTACCTAGGTCATTTTGTTAATATTTTTTTCTAGCGGCTTACGAAGCTAACTTCACGTGTGCAGACATGACTCGCTCAGTGACTGCGTTAGATGCGGAATGTACTGATTGATGCCTCGGATGGTTCTATAGATATAGGGACATCTAGAAAATTAAGTCCAAACCTGTCGTTGTTGCTTCGGATCCCCGCTGCTGTGGACTCTAGATTGTACTGTTTGAAGTAAACGGGGAGTTAATACTGAAATAATGAATCTCAGTTTGGGCTAGCGATCATTCAACTTCTGATAGATTGTGGAATTGAAGTGTGTTGATGGAAGAGCATAGATTGAAAAGGACGGACTCGATTGTGAAGAACGGTTCAACAATTTCGACCTCGAGCAAGGGATGTTGTTACGCAGTCTGATCTGTCTGATGGAGAGTGCTCCCCCCCTAAGCTTGTCGGGAAGCTGGTCATTACCTCCACCGGTCTGCATCATGAGGATTTCGCCAGCGACGAAGCACGAACGGGATGTGGTGGTCGAGACGCGAGGTGCTGTAAGATAAAACATGCCGGCAAGGATGACAAAGGGCAGAACAATGCTTCAGGAAGCCATGATCACCCCCCCCTACGTGGAGAGGAGGTGTGCCCCTCCTCTCTATCATCCTCGCAGTACAAGCTGGCCATCGACCGGACCCCACAGGCTACTCCATGATTGGAGTGCGACAGAGTAGTGCACATGCTTCAACTGACCCATACCCACCGCCCCTCGTCCTCACCTTCCTTACCCGCTCGACTTACAGATGGGAACACTCGGTCCAGATGTGTAAAGGATGTATTTGAAAACTTCTTAATTAAAAAACTCCATTCTAGAGTTACAGCGAGGAATGTGCATCGCCGACTTGATCGAGTGCTGGCCTCGTCGCGAAGAACTGGCTGCCTACGACACCTTGAATGTGTACTTGAGTGTGCGATGTTCAATCAGTTTCATGAAAGTATAAAAAGAAAAATCAAAAAATAAACACACACATACACAAACAAACACAATGCTACGTGGGCATTTGTCCAGGTATCACTTTATCAGTAGG